ATAAAAAGCCCAGACTTTACTGAACCATATAAAAAATATTATTGATAGAAGAAGAGGAGACACGGTCCACACAGTATGATTTAGTCCTGTTAAATTCTGGTTTAGACCTGGTTTATCCCTGGTTTAGTCCAGTTTTAGTCCTGGTTTAGACTTGGTTTAGATCTAGTTTAAATCTAGTTTAGACCTGGTTTTAGTCCTGGTTTAGACCTGGTTTAGACCTGGTTTTGATCTAGTTTAGATCTAGTTTAAACCTGGTTTAGATCTAGTTTAAATCTAGTTTAGACCTGGATTTAGTTCTGGTTTTAGTCCTGGTTTTTGTCTTGGTTTGGACCTGGTTTAGTCCTGGTTTAGTTTCCGGGGGGGGGGGGGGGGGGGCAAAATGTGAAAACAGGAAGATATCTCTGTGTAATCCATTTATTTCAACAAAGTAACTGTAATCCAATTACCACTCACTGAAACAGTAACTGTAACCGAATACAGTTACTCATCATTTGTACTCTGATTACATAACTCTAGTACATGTAATCTGTTACTCCCCAACACTGATTATAATTAGTCCACTCTGATCTATTCTACTCTAAAATCACCCAGAGAAATACATTCAGTCAGGAGTCTCCAACCTGCAGCTCAGGAGCTACCAGCAGCTCTCCAATTGTATTTATTAAATCCCTTTTACCATAGTACAATGTGTCATTTTGATGCCTAACTTTGTACACTAATAAATGGATAAAGGTTTATGTTTTATAAACATCTAACTGTACCTCATCTAAAACCGTGACTCTTGTATTTGCTAAAACTAGTAGCTCTCCGGCGTTTTTGTTTGTAAAAGTAGCTCACTGGAGGAAAAAGGCTTTAGACTCCTGCATGAAGTAATGACCTGCAAAAACATGTATCCAAATGTATGAGCGGATTTGGCCATTCTCTAATTTCTACTTAAGTTGTTGGAGTAATACCTGTTGTAAATTTAAATAACAGTTTTACAAATCAAGAAGCAGTTTGTGTTGAATTTTTTTTTTTTAAAATGACAAGTGCAGAGTTCTATTTTTGAGAGTTCTACACTGATGACCTCACACTGGGAGAATTCTGTCCAAAATTTTGTCTCAGTTTACCAAAATAAATAAATAAATACAATTCTGAAGTGCGATGGATTTGGATGAGCAGTGACTGTGTCCTGCTGCCAGTGAGTGGAAGATGCGTCAGCGTCTGTTTCTGTTTGGGTATGACCTCTGTGCATCATGTGGACGTGTGCTGCCCCCGTGTGTTCTTGAAGAGTTATTACAGGAGTGTCAACAAAACATCATCAGTGACAGAACATAACAGTAAAAGTAGCAAAGTACTGTACTGAGATAAGAATTGTAGGTATATGTTACTTTTAATTTTTACTCCACTGCATTTTTAAACAGGACTGAAAAAAAAAGTATTTTTATTTTAATTTTATTTTAGAGACTTGCTGAAAAGGCTGAGGGTTTATTTTAAGACTAATCCATAGCAGTGTTGTAGTCAAGACCGCACTAATCGAGACCAAGACCAGTCCGAGACCACAGGGTCCCAAGACCAGGACAAGACCAAGACTTTTAAAAGTCGACACAGAGACAAGACCAAGACCACAGCCCATCGGGACCAAATCAAGACCGTCTTTGTAACTTTCTACATTTATTTGTATTTTCCAGTTATTTTGGCACAAATATATCAATGTTTTTATAAATCTATTTCCATTTTATCTGATTAATGTTCATTTAAGATTAATGTTCATTAAGACAAGCAAACTGTACTGCACTGAACTGTACTGTGCCCTGTTTATGGACCCTTTTGAACCCTTCTTTAAGAGAACTTCCACTGGCAATTTACACAAAACTGTGAAGAAAGTGGGTTTGTTTGCCTAATTACCTAATTACAACAGCGGCTGTAATGAAATATGATCACACTCGTCGAGTTTCAAACCTCAAGACCGAGACAAGACAAAGACCAAGCGCCTTCAAGACCGAGTCCAAATGTGGTCGAGTTCGAGACGAGACCAAGACTGTAAAAAACAAAACAAAAACAATAATCTCCAGGCTGGTCTCAAGACTAAGACTCGAGTACTATAACACTAACCCATAGTCTGAGCAAACAAAAGTATACAAATGAAAACAGCTAAAAAAAAAAAAAAAAAAAAGGGAAAAAAAAAAAAGTTTTGGCTGGACATTTGAAGCTTTATTAGACCAAAAATTTGTGAAATACTTTATTTTTAAACTGGTACTTTAATACTTTTACTTAAGTGCATTTTTTCATGTGATATTTACTTGAGTATTTTCTATTGTATTTTTTTTTTGCTTCATTATTTGTACTTTAATTTAACAAAACAATTAACAAAATGGAGTACTTCTTCCACCTCTGCATATCATTACATCATATAACACATTTTTTAGCATAGATTTTGAGTGTTTAAAAAAAAAAAAAAAAAAAAAAAAAAGATAAATCACATTCAAAGGAAAGATTATTCAAACTGGAGTATATTCTGTTTCCTCACTTCTTTCTCCTTGATTCCTCTCCTCGATTCTGCAGGAAATGGGCGAGGAAGACACAGAGAGGAGAGACGAAATAAACTCCTCACTGACACCAATAAAGTCTGATTCTTTTCTCTGATGTCAGATTCTTACTCCTTCCTGCTGTAGTTTTCTTCGGGACACTGCTTAATATGAATTAGATTTGATTGACAGCTGATAAAATGAGGGTCGAGGAGAGGAATCAAGGAGAAGGAAGCGAGAAAAGAGAAATGAGACGCGGCCACAGTCAAGGAACTCCTGTATCTCCAAAGAAAATCACATCCTGATACTGAGATTATTGTGTAGTTACTTCAAGACAACACCAGGGGGAGCCAAAACTTACATATACACACACTCACCCTCTACTAGTAATAATAGTTCTGTTATTCCTTATTGTTTGGAATGTCCCACAGTAGGGCATTAAACATATCTCCCTTGCACATGTTTTATAACTCGAAAATATCTTAAAAAACTCAAATTCTTACCACGTTTCTTACAAAGTTTATTTCCATACTCTGCAATAATCAACGTAAAATGGTAATATCTCCATGGAAACAAGATCCTACACCAGGAAAGTTACACAGTGCAGCTTTATCATCAGACAGAGTGAGACGTTTATGTGAAATTGTATTAACTTGATCTGTCTGTGCCACGAAATCTGACTTAAATATTCACTTAGTTAAATCAAACTATATTATTACATTTGTTAGATTGACATAGTAATCCTTTATTATTAGCCTGTTTACATCTCAAAGCTCAAAACACTCTGCTCCACCTTGTGATGTCATGAAGTGGTACAGTTAATCGTGCCCTTTTACCTTTAGTTCAGTAGAGATTGAGAATTTCAGGGCTGAAATCATCCAGTTGATTCTAGTGAAGGTGTGTGGAGTTTAAAAACACAGTGGAGCTCTTCCTGTATTATTACCTCATGACATCACAAGGTGGATCAGAGTGTTTTCAGTTTGAGAGTTTGTGTGTTAAACATGTGAATGAAACAAAAACAACACTGGGTATGTTTTTGATGAAGAAACAACATTATAACAAAGATTTTTACTTATTTTTTTGTAACACTAAATGTATAAATGTTAAATGACGTCTTTGATCCACGTGTTTTGGCTTGTTACATGTACTCAACTACTCAACTCACTGTTGTTGGCATTATTTGTAACGTGCCAGTACTCAAAAGTCTCACTAAGCATGAATATGTGTTTTTACAATGAGTCTGTTGGCTAAATAAATACTAACGAGCATAACAGTGACCACTTCTGTCATCTCTAAACCAAACCCAAGTGGCCGAGTTCTCTAGCCTGATTCATCAGCCGGTTTCACTTCGTAGAAACTGTCTGACCTCGCAGCATTAGAATTCATTCGCTCGACGGTAAGTGGGTACTTTTTTATTTAACCAATCACTGACATAAGTAATATGCCGCTAACAGGACTAACTGGTATATTAAGCTTTTCCAAAATCCCGTAAGAAGAAGGACAATAATGTCTTTTCCCTTGATAAAATTCACCACACAATCTTTTTATTCCGACTTTAAATCCTTGATCTTGGGAATCGTTGCAACACAGAATACATGTCTCTTTGCTGATTGGCTGGTGCCTGAACTCACACTTCTGGGTTTTTGTGAACTGTCTAGTGTATTCTGATTACTGACCTAGTTGCTGGAGAGAAATGAAATTGAGCAGAGGCAGTAGTTGGCGTCAGCCTGGCTACTAGTTCAAATCTGAATCATCCTGGAATTTACAGAAGTAAAGAAGAATGTTTGTGAAGTGGAGATGTTGCTTTTGCTTGAATGTTCCACAATATGACATGAAACACACCTATTCAATTACAGGTGCTGCTTAACACATCGCCTCTCCACAGATCTGACTTAGAACTTGACCCACCTGCTTTTCTACATAGACCAGTTTTAATGCCACACAGTGGAACATTCTGCTAAAGTAATAACATGGAGATAAGGCAGCACTGGACCCCCCACCAGAAAGGTTCCATAGTGCAGGTTTAATGTGGATTATCCCTGAGTGTGTGTTTGGGCCCCTCTGGGGCTGTTACACACTCTTAACATGTGCACAGTGAACACAGTGAGCTGACAGACTGTTGGCCTCGTGGACTCTGACAGTGTGTCAGGAGATCTGTGCCAGTATTAAGAGTCAGGGGAGTCATTGCAAACATCAGACTGACTCCGGCTTCAAACCCTCAACCCTGGGCCCCACCTGTGATCTACAGCCATGGGACCTGTGTGGCTCCGTCACTGCGTGTGAGGCCACTGTCCTCTCAGTACTGGCTCCAGATGAGATGAGCAGAGCAGATGTGCTCTGGCTGATGCCTTCCCCAGGCCTGTGCTCTGCTCTGGGCCCGTCCTGGGGTGGGCCTGCACAAGGACCTCCAGGAGGACCTCCACTATGACCTCGTTCACCTTTCTACTGCTGGGGCTAATGTGGACTCTCTACTGCCCTCATGTGTCCGTGTGAGGCTCAGCACAGCTGGAGGTGTGTAAACCCTCATCACACTGTGTGCATGTTCTACAGAGACCTCCCTTCTCCTTTTCCATGTGTGGCTGGACTGGACTCCAGTGCAGGGTCACTCAGTGCACTTTATTCTCAGCCAAACACTTTGTTCATCAGCCTTTCTTCATTTGAATAAAGTGGCTTTTGATAAGACACAAATGAAATGTTACATTTGTCTGATGTTAATTATAAAGTAGATTTATTCATAATTACAAGCACTATTTACATGAAGTGAAAGTGGATGTCCACAGTGGTGATTCTGGCTCACACACTCCTCACTGTGGGCTGCCAGTTTGTAATGAACCCAGAGGTCTCTCATTCGACGTGTCCTCGTGTATGATCTGATAATGGCATTCCAGGCATGGAACCAGTTTGTTTTGTGCGCGCTGCTCTCACTTAGTGATTGAAGGTGCGGCTGGGCCTCTCTTTGTTGTGGTGCTCCAACAGCTGCTGGAGTGTGCTGGCCTCCCGGGGGTGCAGCCCGTAAAGGCCTGTGGAGGAGGATGGGAGAAACAGAGTGCGCGATGGCGAACACCCCTGAAGCCTCCTGTTGGCACGCCATGAAACGCATAACTCTCCACAGCTCCATGTGAGCCTACAGCCCGGCTCCTGCGCCAATTACAGCCCACCACAGAGGCTGGGCACAGGGCACACATTTTTACAATCCCACAGAGAGGCCAATCAAAGCTTTGTTTAACTAAACTCTGTGGTTACCAGCTCACAGCCCTTATATCTCTGTTTTTACATGAAGATCAATGAGCATGTCTGCAGCAAATTACATACACATATACTTATATACTACACACAAACATGTATGTGTACTCACACACACAGCACACCGGTCACTCTGCACACACAAGAAAACAATTGGATGAAAGAAACAGCCACAATGTGAAGACAAAAGCGCAGGGCTGGCACATATGTGTGTGATCCACACACACTCACATGTGTCTGATGCTTTCTATGACAACATGTCCCAGTAGCACAGTATTTATGACAGTACACAGTGAAGAGAAGCACAGTAAGTATGAGAGTACACAGGAGGAGCACAGTAAGTATGACACAGTAAACAACAGGAGCACATTAAGTATGACACGGGACACAGGAGGAGAACATTCACTTTAACATGTCAAATGCAGCATTAGTGTCAGAAGAGTTCTTTTGTTAAAATAAAGCATCCGGACGGACAGAAGTTTACTGGGGACTGTTGGTGATGGCTCGCAGAATGTCACATGTGTTTTTAGATATGACCTCTTTGAGCTTCCGTACTCGGCGTGGACTGGACGCTCCCACAAAGCTCTCGGGCTGCAGCACAGCCATTCCGTCACTGACATTCCCCATGATGATGACCGGGCCCTCTGCGGCTGCCCCTGTGATGTTGGGGCAGGGGCAGGTCCAGTCCATGTTCAGGAAAGTGACCTCCAGAGGCTCTGCGCCGAAGAAGCGCAGACCCATCTTCTCGTCCTTCAGGATCTCCTCCACAGAGACCAGGGCGTGTCCGGAGTCCTTCTCCTCGGTCAGCTCGCTCATCCGGCCCACAATCACAAAGTCGCTCCTGCAGAAGCTGGTGACCATCTTGCCGCGGGGCTTGCACACTTTACAGTGTTGGTTTTTAGGGAAGGGGCACATCTCCTCACAGGCTTCTTTGGACTCAAAGTTGTTGTCGTTGCCTTCACATCCTCCATAGATGAAGGACTGGCACTGGAGCAGATTGCTGCTGTATGCCCAGCGCGGCTCGTACGCCTTACAGGGGCCCTGCAGACTGGGCAGTCCACAGGGGCCCGACAGCTCGGGGCCACAGCAGCGCATACACGCCTCATACGTGTCAAAGAGCCTGGAGCCAGGCTGCTCGGGGCCCTGGCAGTGGCTCACAGACAGACAGTTATTAGCTTTGCGCTCATAGTACCAGCTGACCCTCTCCTCACCGGGGCAGGGCTCCGAGCTGCCAGGGGGCTTCACACACTCCTCTGGGAGACAGCGGCTCAGGTTGGCCCCCTGGCTGTGGAGGGGCTGAGGGGGCAGGACGGTGAGGGGGTGGTGAGCTTGCACAGAGCCAGAGGGGTTGCGGGCGGTGCAGGTGTACACCCCAGAGTCCTGGGGCTGGGCGTTGTAGATGACCAGCTGGCCGATGTTGGTGACCACCATGTTGCCCCTGACGTGGTTGGGCTTCATGAGCACGCGCTCGGCCCCCTCGGGCTGCTGCTTCTCCCACGTGATGTCAGGGCGAGGACGCCCCACTGTGTCACACAGGAAGCTGGCCGTGTCGCCCACGCTGACCGTCTGCTGCACGGGGCTGCTGACCAGAGCGGGGGACTGGGGCTCTGTGGGGGTGGGGGGCGGTGGTGTGGAGGGGGGCGGTAGTGGGGCGTCCTGTGGTGGCTCGGGGCAGAGTGGGGCTGGTGTTGGGCCAGCTCAGGTGGAAGCGGCAGGTGACCACGGTCAGACTGATGCCTCTGGAGCAGGCCTCCGCGTCCATGTAGCACCTGTTGTAGTAGGTCATCCCGTCGGAGGCGCAGGTGAAGTGGGGCTCCCTCTCGCAGCGGTCCCTGCACTTACACACGGGCTGCCCGTCCCAGATGTCACACACAGAGCCCTGCTGCGAGCACATGAAGCTGGCACAGCTGGCCTGAGGGGGCATGCCCACCGGACCCTTGGTCCCGTCCATATAACGCGCCGCCACACAGCTGCGGTTCCCACACACGTTCTGACAGCACTTCTCTGAAGGCTCACACTCCTGCAGGAACACACACACCAACTCATGAACATGAAGGACATACACAGAAACACAACAAGCCTATTCCACTTAAGTTTGGTGAACAGTTCTGCGTCAGGCCCTGTTCAACTGAGAGCTGACGTCCTGACACAGACCAGAACCATGCCACTGACAATAAACAATCATCATATTAGGCTCATGTGCAAACATTTCTGTGACAAACTTTAGCTCTTCCAAGTTGTTGGTCGTGTAGTAACCTTTATGACCGAGGTGCACGAGCGCGGCATGAGCGCGCCACTGCAAACACGAGTGTCTGTTTGGTTTTCATGTGTGTTATGGAGCTGTGCAGCACTTCAGCGTAGATTTGATAGAGAACTGTAAACCAGACTTTAAAGGTGCACTGCACCACTTTTCTGGTGGAAAGTCCGCACCTGCTTGTCTCCATGGAGATGTTATTGTTTTTCCTGGAATGTTCCATGGTGTGACTGTAAACATTTCCATCTAACATTTATTCATTACAGGTGTTTCTATTACTCAGATAGGGACATAGTGAATAGAGGCGCTTCTCCACAGATCTGAACTGTAATGTAGTGTAGCCTGCTTGTCTCCCAGGGGATAGACAGGTTTAATCTATACTGTGGAACATTCTAGGCAAATCAATCATCAAATCAATAACATTTCCATAGAGACAAACAGGTGGCGGACCCTCCACTAGAAATGTTACATAGTGCACCTGTAAGCCCCAGGGGCCAGATCAGGCCCTCCCACTGATCTGACCCGTAACCCTCTTCCAAACATACATGTGGCTGTACGGGCTCGTCAAAGCCTGATCCCAACAGATCTCAGAAGTTCAGCAGGGCTGGGTCTGGGTAGTACTTGGATGGGAGACACTGGGAAAATCAGGAGCCACAGTGGGGCTCCAGTGGGAATAACTGTTGTTGTGTCCTTAGGCAAGACACTTCACCCTCATTGCCTAGTATGAAAGTGGTGTGTGTGTGAGTGATGGTGGTGGTCGGAGGGGCCGATGGTGCAGATTAGCAGCCTCACTTCTGTCAGACGAGGCACAACCGTAGAACTTGTGGTTTTCCTAGAAACACTTCTGTAACTGTGCCCCAGGGCAGCTGTGGCTACAGTAGTAGTTTACCACCATCAGGCCTGGAGTGAATGAAGAATGAACTGTAAAGCGCTTTGTAAAAACTTTACTTACTTCTATACATATATGTAAAACATGTATTTTATGCTATAGGCTAGTTTCTTTTTGGTTTAGTCCCAATTTAGTCCTGATATAATCTTGATTTAGTGCTGGTTTAGTGCTGGTTTAGTCCTGTTTCAGACTTGGTTCGTCCTAGTCTAGTCCTGGATTAAGCTGCTTCAGTCCTGGATTGGCTGGATTTCTCAATGTTGATAAAGTCTTTTGTATTTGATTTTTCATAAAAATCTAATATAGCAGTTGTTATGAAATCATTTCTAAAACAGATCTAGTTTTGGAGATATTTTAGCCTGAACAGTGTTCAAAGTGATGGTGTTGTACACGTACCAGCTCAGGGGCCACTGTCCCTCAGGGAAATACAGCTGCATCGGTCTGATGGAGACTAGACTGAAGCACCTCCTGAAGTCACCGCACACATCAAACTCTACACCTGTGTACAAGACTCTACACCTGTATATAAACTATACACCTGTGTACAAGACTCTACACCTGTGTACAAGACTCTACACCTGTATATAAACTCTACACCTGTGTATACAAGACTCTACACCTGTGTACAAGACTCTACACCTGTATATAAACTATACACCTGTATATACAATACTCTACACCTGTGTACAAGACTCTACACCTGTGTACAAGACTACACCTGTGTACAAGACTCTACACCTGTATATAAAAGACTCTACACCTGTGTACAAGACTCTACACCTGTGTACAAGACTCTACACCTGTATATAAAAGACTCTACACCTGTGTACAAGACTCTACACCTGTATATAAACTATACACCTGTATATACAAGACTCTACACCTGTGTACAAGACTCTACACCTGTGTACAAGACTACACCTGTGTACAAGACTCTACACCTGTATATAAACTATACACCTGTGTACAAGACTCTACACCTGTATATACAAGACTCTACACCTGTATATAAACTATACACCTGTGTACAAGACTATACACCTGTATACAAGACTCTACACCTGTGTATAAAACAGTATATCTGTGTATAAAACTATATCTGTATATAAAAGTGTACATCTGTATATATAAAAGTGTATATCTGTATATAAAAGTGTATATCTGTATATAAAAGTGTACATCTGTATATAAAAGTGTACATCTGTATATAAAAGTGTATATAAAAGTGTACATGTGTATATAAAAGTGTATATAAAAGTGTACATCTGTATATAAAAGTGTATATAAAAGTGTATAGTATACACCTTTCTGATGAGAGTTTGGAGTTTACCTGGTCAGAGAGGCACTCGCGCGTGCACGTGCTCATGGCGTCCACCCACAGGTTGGGGTTCATGTCGTTGGGGCAGATGCCCGGGTGAGTGTAGGTGATTGCGGGCACCGCTCCGAGCTGCCACTCCATCCACATGGACGCGCACGCCAGCATCCAGAACCCGCGCGCAAACCGCCTCCAGCACATGTCCGCAGTGCACGAGCCGCACGAGAGTCCGAGAGAAGTTCTCAAAGAAACAAGTTTACGCAGAGTTGAAGAGTTTAAGAGTTGAAGAGTTGAAGAGTTTAGGAGCGCGTGAGGCGCGGAGAGGCGCTGCAGGTGGAGCCTCGTGTCTCTGTGAGCCTGCTCCCCGCTCTGAGCACCACCATCCCGCCTCTGGGGCTCCGGGGATGCTCGGGAGGGTTTGGTCTGATGCGGCTCTGCTGGCGGCACCTGTCTGAGCCCGAGCCGCTTAACCCTGTGTGTGCCGCGCACGAGGACTGCCCTGCGCACGAGGAGGGAGCCGCATGAGCCACTCGTGCAACTCAAGTCAGAGTTTGTGAGCTAAGAGAATCATCAATAATCAATAATCAGTCATCAATAATCAGTCATCAATAATCAGTCATCAATAATGAAAGAAAACGCATCATGCTGTTTGTTCTGCTTTTAAGTATTAGTGCAGCTATTTGCAAAAGCAGTGGGCGGAGACAGGGGGAGGTTAAAACGATCATTTTTAGTCAAGTCCAGTTTATTTATAAAGCACAATTAACAACAACCACAGCTGTACAAAGGTAAAATAACACACACAACAACACAGTAAAAGAATCAAAGACTAAAGCCTGTCAGCTTGTGTTCAGAACAGGGCTTTCAGATGAGTTTTTAACAAAGATTTACAAATATTTCAAGATGGGGCAGTTGTAATACCCAGAGGAAGACTGTTCCAGAGTCTGGGACCAGCTTCGCCAAAAGCCCCGTCCCCTCACGTTTTTAGCCTGGACCATGGAACATTTAACGTCATCTGGTCTGATGATCTCATGGTTCTACTGGGAACAAGGACAGACAGAAGCTCCGAGAGATAAAGAGACAGGCCAACGCATTTACACATTTAAAAATCATCAACAGGATCTTAAAATCCACCCTGAAGCTGACAGCAGCCGGTGCAGAGGCCAGAGCTGGAGAAATGAGCTCATTATTATGTCTTGGTTTGTGTGAGCATGCGCGCTGAAGCGTTTTGGACTGACTGTAAGTGGACGATGGAGCCCTGGTCTAACCCACTGTACAGAGAGTTACAGGAGTCCAGTCAGCAGGTGATGAAGACATGAATGAAGTGTTCTGGGTCATGGCGGGGCAGGTATGACTTCACCTCAGGAGATGCAGCTGGTAAAAACCTGCTCTGACAACCTGTTCTATCAAAAATAACACCAAGATTTCTGTCAGACTGGAGGCAATTTCAGCTCAGAAACTCTGAGATGTTTTGGCAACAGATAAATCACCAAATACCACAATTTGACTTAAAGAAGCTTAGAGCCATCCAGTCCTTTACATCCTGAAGGCTGCATGAGATGGTCTGGGTATTATCTGTGCTGGGTTTTAAGGGCAAGTAAACGTGTAAAAACTTGGCAAAACAATGCAAGGAAATGTTGTGTTTTTTGAAAACTGACCCAAGGGGCAGTATGTACAAAGAAAACAGTTAAGGACCCAAACCGGAGCCTGTGGAACTCCACAGCTCAGCTGAGTCACACCTAAACTATAGGAACCTAACTGAACAGAAAATCTCTTTCTTCACGGTAGGATCTGAACCACTTTAGAGCCACACCTTTGGTACCAACATATTCCTGAAGACGAGAAATCAAAATTTGGTGATCCACAGTGTCAAGTGCTGCAGTCAAATCTAAACACAACAACACCACGGAGGAAACAGAAGCAACAAGATCATTAAAAAGCCTTAAAAGTTTCAGAGCTGTGATGAGTTTTAAAGCCAGACTGAAAGTTTTCAAAGATGCAGTTTTCCTCCAGATAGACTTGAATGTTGCACAAAAAGTCCTTTTTTTTTTTTCAACACTTTTGACAAAAAAGACAGAGACAACTTAGAAATTGGCCTGTAGTTTGACAGAACCTCAAATGGTGTTTTTTTTTAAAGCAAAAGCATGTTTAAAAAAACAAGAGACACAGCCCGAGCTCAGAGGTGTTCAGAATGATCATAAGACACGGACCAATTACTTGTAAGACATCTCGTAAGAACCTGGAGGGACTAGAGTCACTTGTACAGTCATGGTTTTAGCTCGACTACAACATTTGACAGTTCAGCAAGACACACGAGTCCAAGTGCTCAAAATTCACAGCATGATCAGGATTTACAGACAAGTCAGCAGCTGTACATTCTCTTCACAAAAAAACTGAGAAATCTTTCACACAGTGAAAGTGACAGGACAGTTCTCATACTCGACTCAGCTGGAGTCACAGGGGGATTTAGGCTTTTTAAAAAGTCCTTGGGGTCTGTGACTGTTTACACTCAGCCTGTAGAACATGATTAAAGCTCAGAAAAGTGTATTTGACATGATTCACATGTTAGGTTAACATATATGTCCCTTTAAGTGATGATTACATAAAGATGTGCAGAATGGCACCTCCTGCTCTCCACCAAGAGCCCACACAAAGCCCGCTTTTGTGCACACTTTATGTAACTGCACCGTGTGCCACTGCACATGAAACTGGTGCAGACCCTGTGCTCCTCAAAGAGTGCCCACAGGACGTGTCCACAGCTCCACCAGAACAGAACCAGAACAGAACCAGAACAGAACCAGAACAGAACCAGAACAGAACCAGAACAGAACCAAAACAGTCTCAGCGGCCCCTGAAGATGTGACAGAAGATGAATGTGCTCAGTCCGGGCTCTTGTACAGACATGAGCAGGTGAGGAGTGTGATCCTGGTGCCCGGTGGAGGTCACATTTAAACTGATGTGTTGATTTTGTAATGTGATTTACAGACACATCAAAGCTCGCCCAAATGCTGCTCCACACTCTACTCACTCTTCACTCACTCCACACTGTGGTGGTGTCATACCACTGTAGCCACAGCTGCCCTGGGGCAGACTGATGGAAGCGAGGCTGTAATCATTGGCACAGATGCACACGCAACTTTCAGACGAGGCACAACCGTAGAACTTGTGGTTTTCCTAGAAACACTTCTCTAACTGTGCCCATTGTTTTTGCCCTGCACTCTCATGCAAAACCCACATTCCAAAAGCGCGTGCCAGAGCTGCAGACAGACAGTGCCCCAGGTCACACACACAGACACACGCACACACACACACACGTTTGTCTGATGATAGAGGGATTCTTGTCAAGTACAGACTCTTCTACAGCGCTGCTTCAGGCTAAGGGTTATTCAAGGACTCAGCCACACTGCTGTGATCTGTACTCCCACTGTCACACGCTTCAGGAGTGAACAGAGTGACATGTGTTTCAGGAGTGATCAGAGTGACATGTGTTTCAGGAGTGATCAGAGTGACACGTGTTTCATCAGAGTGACACGTGTTTCAGGAGTGATCAGAGTGACACGTGTTTCAGGAGTGATCAGAGTGTCATATGTTTCAGGAGTGATCAGAGTGACACGTGTTTCAGGAGTGATCAGAGTGTCCCATGTGTTTCAGGAGTGATCAGAGTGACACGTGTTTCAGGAGTGATCAGAGTGTCCCATGTTTCAGGAGTGATCAGAGTGTCCCATGTTTCAGGAGTGATCAGAGTGACCCATGTTTCAGGAGTGATCAGAGTGACACGTGTTTCAGGAGTGATCAGAGTGACACATGTTTCAGGAGTGATCAGAGTGACACGTGTTTCAGGAGTGATCAGAGTGACACGTGTTTCAGGAGTGATCAGAGTGACACGTGTTTCAGGAGTGATCAGAGTGTCCCATGTTTCAGGAGTGATCAGAGTGACATGTGTTTCAGGAGTGATCAGAGTGACACGTGTTTCAGGAGTGATCAGAGTGTCCCATGTTTCAGGAGTGATCAGAGTGTCATGTGTTTCAGGAGTGATCAGAGTGTCCCATGTTTCAGGAGTGATCAGAGTGACACGTGTTTCAGGAGTGATCAGAGTGACACGTGTTTCAGGAGTGATCAGAGTGACACGTGTTTCAGGAGTGATCAGAGTGTTTCAGGAGTGATCAGAGTGTGTTTCAGATCAGAGTGACATGTTTCAGAGTGATCACATGTTTCAGGAGTGATCAGAGTGTGTTTCAGTGGAGTTCAGGAGTGATCAGGAGTGTCATGTGTTTCAGGAGTGATCAGAGTGTCCCATGTGTTTCAGGAGTGATCAGAGTGTCATGTGTTTCAGGAGTGATCAGAGTGTCCCATGTTTCAGGAGTGATCAGAGTGTCATGTGTTTCAGGAGTGATCAGAGTGTCCCATGTTTCAGGAGTGGTATAAAAGTGTGAGAGTGTGGGTCAGTGAGGAAGAGACAAATGACCATAAGTCAGTAGCAGTAGCAGCAGTACCAAGACTGAGCAGAGGAGGCAGTACATGTGTCATTGTGAGCTGACCCCTCTGACCTGCACTGACAGAGAGAGCAGTCCAGTCATTATGAAAACTGGGGTATTTCCATTCACGTCCTTTTGACTGAACTTTAAGCCAGTAGTAAATATGTAACTTTTAATGTACTCTTAATGTACTTTTTTAAATCCCTTTTTGCTGTTTTTATTTGAAAACCAGATTCTTACTGTGAGCAGGCTTGCATTTCCACAAACCTGACTCTTATTTGGCCCAAAAAAATGGCCTCCTGCTGCTTGTTTCCATATACTGTATCTTCAAGTGTTTCTTGAATACTTTTATTTTGTTTTTAAAATAACACTCATTACTTTATTACTTACCTACACTATATTCCATAATAATATCTATAATGTGCTTTAATAATATACAATATACTAACTCTAATATAATATACTAGTGATACTACAATATACAATTTTATACTATACACTAACTATACTATAATAGTGTAATGGTGCAGAAGAATAAGGAGTGTGAGCGCTCTCTGGTGGATATGAGGAGAACGTGCATGTGCTACACTCATGTTTATCACAAACCTCTCATGCACATGGACAGAACCAGAGGCTTCATGTTTAGTCTTACTCACTAAATGAGGTTCTGTTGCTGGAGCCTGGAGTCTCTCTCCTCTAATGAACCATCAGTGTCACGTCAAAGCCAATAACAGCACACATCATCATAGACTCTTTTTTTAATAAAGGCATTATTATCATATTTCATATTTTGGTGGCTGACAATTCAAGTTTTGAAAGATCTGCTTCACAAAAGAATCACACATAAAACACAGAGCAAACTTGTCTAGCAGAAACATTCCTTTAACTTAAATAACAGTACAAAAATAAGTGGGCTTGTCACAAAACGCTCAGTGTAGTACAGTGGCACAGTATTCTCTGGAGTAGAAAAACATCAAATATAAAAGTTGCGATTGTCTCATGTTTCAGCATAAAGAGTTGACATTGACAGTGATACATTCTGGCTTACTTCCTCACACTGGCAGAAGGCACTAAGGGGCACGCTCGACTCATACTGTGTCCTCACTCAACACCACAGAGACGAGCCAAACAGTGCAGGGGACACTGCGAGATCAAACAGGGGATACACACTGGTGGACACTACTTAGCTACATATTACTTGAGTAACTTTTAAAATTTTCGGAGCTTGAGCTTTGAGCTACAAAGATGTAGACTGACAAATGATACAGGATTACACAAACATAGGAATGAAACAAAACACAACTCCAGGTGAGTTTTTGAGGAGGTAACAGCATTAGAAGACGACTTACAGCTCACGAGAGTCAGTTTTGTGTAACATAGGACCTTCAGTAAAATTGTACTTCTGAGAGTAATTTCAGACACTATACTTTTACTCTCCTTTAGTAATATAATGTACAGTGTAACTGTACTTCTACTTGAGTTATATTTTGCACAGACAATATGAAATGATTTGAACATTTGTGTTCACTGCAATACCAGACTCTAATGTCCTTTCACTGAGAATTATAAATCAGATGTTGTGCAGTACTTCCCCTAAATACCTTTGTACTTATACATGAGTATTTATCGGAGTAGTCTCTCCTATGGAGCTGTTAGGAAAAATTTAAATATTCAGATTTATCTCAGAGACTATCCAGCTACGCACTAACTAATATCCATAATGCAGTTGTTTTAAGTCCATTTCAGTCTTTATATAATGAAATGTGACCATTTTGTTGTTTATGGTGAGGAAATTAATATTAAAATTAAAAATAAAATAGAAGGGAAATGTGGCTTAATCAGTATGAGGGGAAAATGATCCGTTCTTTTATTGTATGTCCCGGTGTCACACAGTGTCTCTTGCTCTGGTTTGGCTCTCAGCGGTTGATGTGTGAAATCCTAGAGTGAGTTCAGACAGAGTAATGTCCAAGCTGGAGAAAGGAGGACGTACAGGGCCCTGGGTTTGGAGACTGGGTCACTTTCTGTGGAGGTAGGTCTCTATGGTAACTCCAAAGAGAAACCAGGGTTAGACATGTCACAATATTTACTCTACTTCATTCAGAAATATGTGTTGTGCAAGATGAAAACAGCTCATCTCCCAACATATAAAGGTATTGATAGAATTAGGTAATGTGCTCCCAAACGGTACAAAAAAAATGTAAATCTGTATAAAATCTGTAAACTGTAAATGTGCCGATACGGTAACTTCATAAACAACTAGTATGCAAACTGTGCACCAGTCTCATTTCCTGTTTTACAAAAGATAAAGTCAAACAAAAACACTCTCATAAAGTCTGACCTTAAGAGTTGATTCTATAAGATATCTGTACATGTTTTTATTCAATAATATGAAAAAATGGGGAAGATCCCCTTTAAATATGGTGACAGTTCTGCCAGAGACCAGAGGACGACCTGCTCTAGTGACTTGGTTTAGTTTAGTTGATATAAGGTGTTCCAGTCTCATAGCCCAGGGCCTGGTCTGCTCCTGTGTTGGGAGGGGAGGGTGTGTTACTGAGCCAGCCCAGCGTCTTTGGCCATGCCGTAAAAGATTCCTCTCTCAGATATGAGATTTGACGGAGTGTCAAACTCTGCAATTCTTCCCTTGTCCAACACCAGCACTCTGCAAACACAAGCACAGGACTACTGTTAGTGTTAGTGTGTGGAAAGAAAGACATCTGCCACGTTTACACCAGAGCTTTAATTCTGAATGGAAATGATTTAATTCTGAACAAAAAATGATTCCACTTTAAAAAGACCGTGTAAACACTTAAGTCCTAATGAAAGTGATCATTTGGAATTAAACTTAATTCTGAAGTAAGTGGGGAGTTTATTCCGATTTTAAAGCCAAATTAATTTCTTCCTGGATCATGTAAACGGATCCAGACGATCCGGCTCCACCAGTCCTGGCTTCAGACTTTCATCCACATCTCTTTGGATTTGTGAGCGGGATGTGGGAGTGGGCTGAGGTAGAGCAGCCTCAAACACATTTTGTCTTCTTCCTCCTTCTCCGACGCTCTTCCCTTCTGATCCTCAGCTGACAGACGTAAAGTGTGATGAGAGAATTCTCCAGCTGCTGTGCAATTATCATCAGAACCACTGTGGAAAAAGTTTGTGTCCGTGGTGTAACAACAAACTGAGATAACAAAAAAGCCGGTAGCAGCTGAAGTGTGTGTTTTCTTCTGGTTGACGTAAATATGTTTGTGTCTCTGTCCAGTCAGAACACTTCCCCACCTCCAGACGATGAGCGGAATTAAATAAAGGTGATTACATGTTTTCCATGTAAACCTCAATTCAGAATTATTATTTCCATGTAAACTCAAAGGAGAATATTTTAATTCCAAACTATTTAATTCAGAACAATTAATTTGGAATGGCCAGTGGGTTACATAGACAGAACATGGTGGCAGCATTTTATGTCAGGTTTTAAAGGGACACTTGTCTCTGTGGAGATGTTATTGCTTTGACTGGAATATTCTACAATATGACATTACATGTTAAATAAGTAATCATTTCACTTTCAAGACGTCCAAAGAGCTTTATTCATTCACTCCACATTCTGTGATGGTGAAAATCCGTCCTGCACCATCACACACCACATTCATACGAGGTGTGTACCTGGTGTAGTCCATGATAGTGTTGAGGCGGTGCGCGATGGTGAACACTGTGCACTCGTCAAACTGTGTGCGGATGGTGGACTGGATCAGGTCGTCCGTCTCCAGGTCGATGGCGGCCGTGGCCTCGTCCAGGATCAGGATGCGGGTTTTCCTGAGGAGAGCACGAGCCAGGCACACCAGCTGCCTCTGCCCCACGCTCACACACACACACACACACACACACACACACACACGCACACACACGCACACACACGCGCACACACACACACACACACACACACACACACACACGCACACACACACACACGCACACACACACACGCACACACACGCACACACACACACGCACACGCACACACACACGCACACACGCACACACACGCACACGCACACACGCGCACACACACACGCGCACACACACACACACACACACAGGGCATTAAAGCACATATGATCATATGAGTACAGCTATAGTCGACTAAAGACATTGTTGGTTGACTAAAGACATGTATTGCTGATGACAAATCAACTAAAACGGAGGCGTGGGAAAGGCTCTCACACCAGTATGTATCTCTGCATCTGCATCTCTCCAACTTCTAATGCAGTAAATAACTACTAGGAAACATTGTACCATATTTTTTGGACTATAAAGTACACCAGATCATAAAGGTGCAATATCAATAATGTTGAATTCTCTTGTCTATTTTCATACATAAGGTGCATTAAGTGAAACACTTGAGACTGATCCTTAGTCCAGGCGTCCACGATCCATTGGCAGATCGTGGTGTATTTCGCCCGGCGTTGTCTCCCTGTCTTGATGAATGTGGATTATGAATGTGAATGTGAGTCGATCATTTAAGTTTGTTTTTTTATTTCCTACGAGGACGACTCAAATATACATTCAGTAATAATATGTTTAATGCAGCTTTGCCACATTTGTTTACGTTTTACAGAAACAAAACTTAAAGCCACATGACTCATTTGCATAAACTATAAGCACTGAAAAAACAGCTGCTCCTTGTGTGCTGATGCAGTTCATCTCCTGTTGGATTAACTCTGTGAGGCTCCTGACTACAGGAGCCGTAATGTTCTGATAATCCATCGAGCGGTCGGGCTTCATAGTTTACAAAAGTCGTACTAAAACATTTTGACAGATTTCTGAGCACCGTGTACCACATACAATCAGTTTGAGGCCAGTAAACACAACCAGAATTAATTTATAAGGTGCACCGGATTATAAGGTACAATGTCCATTTTAAGAGCGTCTTATAGTCTGAAAACTATGGTATAGAAAAGTTGAATCTCACTTCTCCTTTCTTCTTTGGTCCCCAGAGACTGTATATATAAATGGTCATAGCTAACCCGCTATCCACCACATTCCAAATAGGAAATGAGCGTGGGTGCACTTCTGGCTCCATCGACTCTGGCTCCAATTGACGTAATGTTGAAAAACCTTCTCTGTGTAACTGCTGCTGTGAGCCTCGTCATTTTGGCTTTAACATGTTCATATTAACCTGCTCTACACGCTCCCGATGTTTTTATTTTGCTTTTTTGTCCGTAGAGAAAGTCCAAATTCGTTCCTATAACTGCTAGCCTCTGTGAGCTTTATTTGACTGGAGCCAGATGCTGTGGGTGATGTCACACTCTCTTAGTCCACTCCTTTCCACAGTGTGTGTCTCACCTGAGGTTCTCCCCGCCCTCGGCACACTCCAGCAGCAGCTGAGCCGGCTGGTTGCTCACAAACTTGTGCAGGTGAGCGTGTTCCAGAGCCTTCCACACCTCCTCGTCGCTGTATCTGTCAAACGGGTCCAGGTTCATGCGCAGAGTCCCTGAGAACAGCACGGGCTCCTGGGGCCAACACAAAACACACAGCTCTACTTAAAGGTCCTAAATTACTTGGCGTTAAGCCCTGTTAAAATATTATCTCCTCAAAAACAGACCTGGAGGTGTGTTTTATTTCATTCACACATGTTTGAGTCATCCTGTATTATTAGTCTGTCTACATCTAAGGTCAAAATGCTCTGTTCCACCTTGTGATATCATGAAACTGTAGTTTTCTAGTTAACAGCTCCTTTTAACATTAGTTCAGTAGAGACTGCCATGTCCAAGGCTGAAATGATCTAAATTATATATGTTTAAAAACACAGTGGAGCATTTCCTGTATTACCACATGACATCACAAGGTGGAACAGAGTGTTTTCTGTATGTGAGACAAACTCAGACTAAATATGCAGGATTTGTGTGTTAAACATGTGTGAGTGAAACAACTACTTTCTGTTCTCTTAAAGCTTAAAAAGTCATCGTGGTGAATAATTAGGATTCTCTCATGCATAAGGTAAGTGAGGAAGAACTTTGGACCGTTTAAAACCCTTTAAAATGAACTAGTTTCCTGTTTTTAGACAGTAAAACTCAGGTACAGCACTTTTAAATCAACTTAATGTCTAGATCTGTATTTTTTCACCAAATAGCGACTCTTAAGGTTTAATAAATATTTTTTACAGGCCAGATTATCAGAATTTTCAAACAATTGCACAACATCCCAGTCTAATTCTATATTACCAGTCAAAAGTTTGGACAAAAATTCTCATTCCTTGAATTTGTTTTGGCCAATTTGTTCTTGTTGATACACACTGAGGACATCAAATATATGAAGCAAGACAGATGGAATTATGTTGCAAAGATAAGACAAATAAAAACAAACTCTAAATATATTTCATATTTTATATAGAAATCCTCAAACTATCCACCTTTTGCTTTGCTGATATTGCTGCAAACACTTGGCCTTCTCTCAGTGACCTTCATGATGAAGTCTCTGAAGTGGTTTCACTTCACAGCTGTGCCATGTCAGGGTCAGGAGAGGAATGCCAAGACTGTACAAAGCAGTGATCAAAGCAAAAGGGAGGATATTCTGAAGAATCTAAACTATAAATCATAAGTTATTTCACCCTTTTACTGCACTCCATGCGCTCATTCATAGTTTTGAAGCCTTGAGTGAGAATGTAAATAGTCATGAACATAAAGACAAAAGCTTTAATTAAAGTGTGTGTCAGAACAGTAGTGCACCTGAGGGATGATGGTGAGTTTGGAGCGCAGGTCGTGCAGGCCGATCTCTGCAATCTTCACGTCGTCGATGGTGATCTCTCCTCCTGCTGCCTCCAGCAGGCGGAACAGGCACAGGGTCATGGAGGACTTCCCCGCTCCGGTCCGACCCACTATTCCAATCTGCACAACAAACACACAGGTCAGCTTTTCACCACCTCTGTGTGCTGCTTCAGACGAGAGCTCTAGAGCCAGCCCCTCTCTAAGTAAAAGCATGTGCTTTGGAGCACACGCAAGACTTTGGAGGAAGAAAGTGTTTTCTGGGTTGTTCATGTTAAGGAAATTGATAAAAGTCATTTTTATTGGCTTTAGAGAAGACAAAATACATAACAGAAAGCCCAAAACCTCCAGAATTCCCTCCCTGAGCTGCAGACGCTGCACTAGCACTGACTCATGATGCTGTAGGTGCTGGGGTTTACACTTCGGACCATTCGGATCAGAGAGAGACATTTTAGGTTTAAACCAACTCCATTTCTACATTGAACCTGGCAACACAAATGAGAGCCTCATGTGAGACTCATTCTGCTTTCTGATTGGACAACAGCCTTGAGAACCAAAACACCAAATTAAAACATAATTTACAAATAACATGGGCGTCACGTCAAATGTTGTTGTAATTAAGCATTACAGCTGTTTTCAGTAAAAGCTATTTTAGGTCACGTTTATGAAAATCCTACATACAGTTCCTTTAAATTAGGCTCAAAGCAATAGCAGCTCTCTGCAAAGTTACTATTAAATGAAGTGCTAAAACAAATCTATGAGTAAAATAAGACTGAAACACATGAAGCATGTTTTGGAGATTATAATCTGATTCAAAGCTAAGGTCATGTTTGTCAAAAGTCCCATTTCCTGCTGTAGTCTGATGAAGAAGAGTGCAGACCTTCTCCCCTCCTTTGACGCTCAGGCTGAGGTTCTTGAGCACCAGGTCCAGTCCCTCTCTGTATCTCACGCTGTAATCTTTGAACTGCACATTCCCGTGTGGCGGCCAATCAGGAGGCGGCTTCTTGTCTTCGATCTCCCACGGCGCCTGGGGACACAAACAGGGCTCTCCTGAACAACTCATTAGGCACAGCGTAATTTGTTTATCATTCTCTGACGTGTAGTGGCCAAACGTTTATCGGACCCATGGGACGGGCTTAGGAGAAGTGCTCAAAACAAATGTGCTCACTGAAGACTCTAGCAGCTAATGGGAGAACGTTGTGTACAGAACACATGTGTTGTGCAATAGGCTGGCACTGGTGGGGATCTAATAACAAGTAGCAGTAGTGGAGAGTACTGAAAATGTGTACTCAGTTTAAGTACTGTTGGATATATCAGTCATTCAGTCACATTCAAGTAACAAAGCGTCACTTTCTGGAGGTGTCACCTGCATGATTCCATCGAAACTGAAACTTAAAATCATACATGTGCTGCTCCACAGTATCCCATACACTGTGGAAGATTAAAGACAACGAACAGCAATTCCATGGAAAACAAGCAGGAGTCCTCCAGACACTGGTGAAGTTAACAATTTAGGGGCACTAGGCCAATTTGAGTTTGGTTCCCTCATTATAATTTTTTTTTTAATTTATCGCCTGTTTTTCTCCATTATTCTTGAGACACGCACATCTCTATTTGAATTAGGGTGGATTGGAAACTTGTCTTATTAGTTAGGTCGCCTACTACATAACCAGAGCTAAAAGAAGTTTTATTTTTTTGCTAGTACAATTACATTTTTGTTTACATCCGTTATATATGATTATGATTCTGCTACAGTTATGTTCAAATCAGGATCAAGCCCACTCTAATGTGACAGGGGAAATGCTTATTTATTTACTTATTTATTTAATGAGACAGGGACAGTGCACTATGTTTACATGAACCTTAACAGGAGAGATGTTTGTACCAGGTTGAAGCATCAGTGTTAACTTCCACCTGTCGTCCCTGAACAAGTTCATGGATTGATTGTATTTAACTGACCTTGGCTATCAACTGTTTTCCTGGAGACCTGTAGCATGTTTTGGGTTGATGGGGGAAACCGGAGCACCCGGAGGAAACCCATCCAGACACGGGGAGAAACAATCAAACTCCACACAGAGCTTTGACAGTTAAAATAGATTAGACAGTCAGATACTATTTTGATTAGGGCTGGTATCATTAAGAAGTTGCCGATACGATACATACTTCGATACATAGGCCACGATACCATACATATCTCGATACAGTGAGCTTTCGATTCAATATGATATATTTCAAATCGATTCGATACGGTTGAATAAAAATAAAGGCTAAATCATGTCTGTGATAGTAAAAGTCTTTGTTAAACCACGTCTTGTGTAAAGTTCATATGAAACACAAACATTTTAATCATCAAAACAGTCAAATGTCAAATGTGTCGCATAAACGAGTTTCCTTCCTTTGAACAAATAACAAAACTGTAGCTGTAACAAAATAATTGAGTAAAATATTCCAAAAAATACTCTTGGTGATATATCGATACAGCAACTCATGATATCGATACTGTATCATCATATTAAGTGATACGATATATCGATATTTCAATATTTTTGCACGCCCCTAATTTTAATGGTGTTTTTTTGTTTAAAATAAACTACTCTCATTTAATGTCATATTGTCATATCCAGGTTTGGGGGCCCTAGGTGGCCTAGAGTCAAGTTTGTGGAGATGCAAGCCCGATCACAAAACAAAGTACACGTTTCAGTACAATGAAGCATCCAAAAGGAAAAACAAACAAACGGGCTTTTATTTGATTCTATTTTTAGGTAAAAAGTTGGTGGGGCTTTAAGGTAAAGTGTAAAGGACAAGTTACAAGGAGTTACAAGTTGCTTTTTTAAATTCTAGAACCATTTTAGATCAGTCTTTCATACAAAATTAGATGAATTAAACAGTTTAAAGGTCGTATACTACACAACATTGATACTTATGTTATGAGCTTTAAGTCATGTTATAATGTTGTTACCTCCTGAAGAACAGACCTGGAGCTGTGTTTTATTTCATTAACCTTTTATTATTGGTCTGTCTACATCTGTCTATATCTCCAAAGTTCAAAGTACTCTGTTTTAACTTGTGAGGTCATTAGTTGTCATGTTCAAGTTAAGATTGGGAATTCCAAGGTTTATGTTTAAACTTTTGAAAGAAAGAGAGGTGAGATAACTGTGGATGGCTTAGAGTACAGTAACTTTCCAGACCTCACATGTACTTATACTTCCAGCTCGGTGTTGTTTGGCATCATTCTGTATGTGACTGTATGGAAATTCCTGAATGCAAACTCACCTCTGTCTGAGTTTCGGAGTACTCCTTCACTCTCTCCACTGCTACAATGTTGTTCTCCAGGTCAGAGGTCATGCGCACCATCCAGTTCAGGGACATGGTTACCTGTGGGACACAATGCAAACAACGCTGTCAATCAAACCTGTTGCTAAAGCTAGCGACAGCAACCTCAGGGAAACATGTTTTTTCAGTGTAAAGTTAATCAGAGCCCATACATACTTTGTTCTACAATTTTATTTTCTTAATCGGTTATACATGTAAGATTTGACAACTTCATGTGGTCCTCGCTACAGTGATGTGCAGTTTTCCATGGGAGGTGCTGACAGATGCATTGCTCTTTGTTGTGATGATGTGTATGGCGACGTCTGCTCTTGTTGATCATCACAGTTTTTTAACACAGAAGTGGACTTGTTCATTGTATTAATTTAGATGAATATTGTGATTGAAAATGTTCAAATTTGAGCCCGACCTATATACTGGTTGGCCGATATGAGGACTTTGAGATGTATCGGCCATAGACCTAAGTCTGGCTGATTTGGATCGATAGTCCACGTGGGCATGTTATACCTTGTTATAAAGCATAGACTCTCTATATTACAGCTGTTTAATCCTATTTATAGACAGATAAATGTCCTCACTTCACTTTAGACCAGCAACAAAACTACTGCTTGTTTTTATCAAAGTGCGAGTGCAGAGTAGAGAGGACTGTCTCACAGACACATGCAGCTGCTGTCAACATACTGGACTATATTCTTTTTATGGATGATTGCTTTGAGTCAGGATAAAAAGGACACTTATTTTTGATGACTTGTGATCTGAGAGGTGTCTGTGTGAGTGTTACAAATGCGTCGGTTTTACTTTTTTATTTACTTTTGGTTGGTTGGTTAATCTTACGGGCCTCGGCCCTTTGGAATTCGTTATTAGTGCTCCCGTCCTTCTCTATTTGCTTTTGTGTGTGGAGGATTGGCCGGTCACCTTTCTGTCCCCTCCAATCCGCGGATGCCACTTGTGGGAGCGCGGGGTATAAAAGGACAGTAATCCGCCTGCTCGGGGCGGCTGGATCCCTGCAGCCAGCTCACCTTTTTGTTTGATTGATTTTTTGGTTGTCTCATTTTGTTTTTTTTTTTCTTACTTTGGCCTAGTGTAAAGTGACTATAGTGGCTGTACACATTACTGGACCTGCATTGCTATGTAAATGAGCTGTGAATTGAGATGTGAATGGTCTGCATTTACAAATATGACTCATTACCGCGGCACACATTTATGAAAACTGCTAAAGGCTAATAGCGGTAGTAGTTTACTTACTTTGTTTGCACTACAGGCTAGATGTTATGCAAAAATGCCATTAGGCCGACCAATTATTCTTAAATATGACTGTAAAGAGGCAAAATACCTGGAAATGCAGCCTAAATAAACCAAACTTAAAAAGAGCCAAACTTAAGTTTTATAATCGACTGAAGATTACAGTGAATTTTTACATCACTTAATATATCGGCTTTTATATTGGCTATCGGCGCCTCTAAAGCCTGTTTTATCTGTATCATATCGGATCCAAAAAAATCCCTATCAGCTGGGCCCTGGTCCAAGTGATAACACAATGATCCACGTGGGTCAGAGATTAGAATTACAGAGCAGACAAAAGCACAATAGGCCTTCTTTGTCAGTAGTACAGATTTAGTGTACCTGTAAGGCGTAGGACACCGACAGCCCCACGAGACCCGGGCTCAGGCTCGACTTCCCACCGACCGCAAACAGAGCAGCAAACAGTACGATGCAATTCCCAATGAACTCAATCCTCACTCCCAACCACCTGAAGACAGACAAGAGGAGTCAGCTGGACAAACCACAAACTAGAATGCCATACAGGATAGAATGTCTCAACTCTATGTGAAATATGTGTGCTTGGCAACATCTGTTACTTACAAGAGAATATATACAACTTTATATTTATAGCATTGTATAAGAATAGGCCATCATCATTAAAGGTCCTTAAAGGAACCCTGTGCTCATACATGAAGTATACTATATGTAATGTGGGATAGATAAGTCATGTCATTGAAATGATGTTCAGTGTTTACTATTTTGACATATCATTTGAACAAAAAGTCATAATGTGCAAGAGAATCAGAATCAAAGAGATCATTAAGCAAACAAGATCATTAAGCAAAATTTAGATTTGTATTATATTTTTTCTTTTCTTTCTTACAATTTATAGCACAACCCCAAATTGTTACAATTTTGTATCTGGAGATTAGATCCAATATGACTAGTGTATATTTAGAATTCAGCTGTCTTTGTTTGATCAGGATTGCCACACTGAATAAATTCCACTGGCAGATTTGGAAGCCAGCTGCCCTTCCAGTCACAAAAAGATTCTACAGCTGGAGAAGACAATGTTGGAGCTTTAATGAAGTAGTTACTGAATCATTCTTCATAAAGTACTAATTCATTATGAGTTATAAGTGATAATAGGGTGAAAATGTGTAAATCTGTGTAATCCCCAATTGTCCAGGAGAGAAAGGGTTTTTAAGGTGGATATATCTATGCTGTTGTTCACTTGTGACAGGATGGGCAAAACCTGCTAACTGTGATATTCTCTGATACAAAAGGATAATATTAAAAGTGGACATAATAAACTCTGTGCACAACAGCACGCCAGCTCACTGTTTCTCAAAGCTCAGGTTAACTTTTATTAAAAAAAATGTTAAATATAAAATAAATGACCAATTCATATAAAGATGTATTAAAGTAAAGACCACACATTTGCTTTTATTTGTAGATTACTACGGTTTGAGGCATTTTTTTCTGCAGTACGATAAGATTTCAGATGTAGAAGGATGGATTATGAACTAAAATTACACAAAGTAACTCTGCACACTTCACACTTCAAAATATGTTATCGTGACAGGCCTGGCTCCGTCTACTGTTTTATCTTTAAATATTTGATTTTAGCGCCACCCAGCAAACACCTCATGGACATACAGTAGGTCCTTTTCACAGCCGCCTGGCTAGTGCTGGTTCTCTCAAAAAGTGCAGAGCTGCACTTCCTACTCCAGTCATTGTGTACTGGGAATTAGTGGTGCTAAAATGTATTTAAATATTAGCACCACTAATTTAAATATCAGGCAGTGGATGCCACATAACCACACACACCATGATAAGACCTTTGCTATGATCAGGGTTCCCACTCTTTTTCACTGACAAAATTTCAAAACTTTTCCATGACTTTTTTTCTTCAGCCTTCAACCAACAAAGAGCACAAAGGACATATTCTGTCCATAACATTAGTTTTGTTCAGTATTTCACTAATGCGTCATCTTTGTTGTTCACCTTTAAGCGTTGGTCTTTGTTACCTTGATAGTTGTGGATAAATTCTTCATGGAAGAATGTTTATCCTTTGTGGACCTTTTTGAATGAAGATTTGGTGATGAGGCAGATTTATGAAGCTGGTGGAGAATACGCCTGACATTTACACAGATATTTTGCAACAGAAAAGCATTAACTTGAAGTTACGTTTACCCTACATCGCTGCACTTCTGGCCATTGTGTAAAAGGTCTATTGCTCTGTGAAAAAGGCCTACTAGACAGGAAGTAATGATGCTAACAGTGAGGTTATGGGGCGCTGCTGTGCACAGTCTGTTCTTCTGTAACTGTCTTATTTATGTGTGTGTGTGTGTGTGTGTGTGTGTGTGTTGTGTGTGCCTTTTCCTTCCACCTTTCTTCCTGGTCTCTGAGGAGGGAGCCACCTACCTGTTGGACACTATACCCGGGTAGTAACTCTTTTGATTCTCGTCCACTTTGGTATCGCTCATCAGCACAAAGGCAGACTGTCTGCCGTAGGCCCGGATTACACTACAGCCCGTCACCGTCTCCGAGAAATGGGAGTAAATGGGAGAGCGGCTGACCGACTCCAAGCGCTTTAGCTGTCGCGATGTTGCAACATAAAACCTCTGGAGAAGATTTTGGGGAGAGAGACAAAAACAGCATTACAAGTGAACACAAGCCAGAGAGGTATTCCAGAAGCAGCCAAGTACACATGCAGCCAGCCCATGCACACACTAACAGAAAGCTAGCTAGCGCCTGCCCAGCCTCCACAACACGCTTGATGTGATGCCAGAGCTAAGCGGGTGGCACAGTCTACATGCCAGCCAGGTTCAACAATGTGGTGTTCCTTATAAACGTTATTACGAGCTGGAAGTGAGGTCGGCAGGGTTTGTACATCGCTTCCCGGATCACAGTTTTCAGTCATAATTTGAAACACACATAAGGTTTGATTTTCTCTTGATTGTTCCTATTTTATTTACTTAAATTTGTGTGATTGTAACGTATTCACAGTGCCTCTTTATAATAACTACACTTTAAAGCCACAGTGTGTAACTTTTTAGGCACAAAATAGATTCATATTAACACGTTTTTTGGTTGTTTGTTTGTTTTCATTGCACTGAAAAACATGTGTCCTACTGGGAGCGGGCTTGCATCTCCACAAACCTGACTCTTACTTGGCCTGACCTCGTTTCCATAAAAATAGCTATAATATTCCACAGTATCTATTGCCATGGGGGATAGAGATGAATGCTTTGAAGTTTCTATTTCCATGGAATCATGCAGGCGATACGTCACCTCCAGAAAGTTACATACTGCACCTTTAACTAGTTTTAAAAAAACATAAACAAGGCTTAATTCACAATGAACAAATTAACTATGCCTGATTCATTCTTGATAAACTCTTTTATTAATTAATTATGAGTAAAGTCTTTGTTCATGCTTTCTTAAGGCTTTTAAACGTGTAATAATGATAAAGTGTTACTGTGTATGTTTAAGATACACTGGGCACTGGGAGTCTGCCTGTTTGTCTGCATGGAGATGTTATTTCTTTGCCTGGAATGCTCCAAAATCTGCCTTGCATTACTCAATTAAAGGTGCTTTTATTGCTAAACAGTCACAGTCACAGCTCAGTGTCATCAACTGCATGTCTCCATGGAGATAGATAAGTTTAATGCCATCCTGCAGAACACCTGCAGGAAAAGCAATCTCCATGGAGACGAAAAAAAGTTACATAGTGCACCTTTTACTGAGGATTAAGGTTGTACAAACACTGTGAGCTGAAGCTTAAGTAAATCTGGCATGTAGAGTGTGTTGACAGGTATTCAATTTAAAGGTTATTTACAACCAAATAAAATCAGTACATAGTAAGATCCCTGGCCATGACCTTGGTGTTAGAGATAGGATAGTGTGAGGATGTGAGCCATGCAGCAGGGTCTGAGCTCTGTTAGTTGGCCACACAGCCCATGGTTAGTGACAGAGCGCTGCACACAGACTGCACCACCCCTCATGAGCATAACCAGGCTGTTCATCTTTGGTACTGATGTTTAGAGGAGAAATAAAGGCTACACTACAACAAATAAACTACATTTGGCTGTACTGTTCTTACTAGTTTTGTAGGTAGTACAAGCAGGCTTTGACTCCAACTGAAAGGCTTAACTGTGCCCTCTAGAGGTTGTTCTCATTTCTAACAACAAGCCAAAACAGTACAGTGGAAATACTCTGATGGATGCAGATCACACATACAAACTACTGTATAGTGGTACAGTTCTCCGTCTGCAGAGGGCACACAGGAACATAAGCCTCGTTTCCACTGCCAGCACCACGAGCTACAGTTGTCAAAAGACCAGTGCTAAACTAAAGGAGCATCAACACTGATCTGTGTTCAAATATAACTCATGCGAATGAACCAGAGCGCACAGCTGATCCTCGCGTAGACTGACATGTGCTTAAGGGTCACTTTTGGCTTTTCTGTAAACGCAAAGACATCACTGCGTGGAGTACATGCTACTGTTTGGATAAATAACTTTACTCTTTTACTACTTGGTCATCTGGATGAAGAAGGACTATGGAGAGCTTTAAGTGCTCTAGTTTTTATACATCTTTACGCACACACCACACTGTCACTGGATGTGGATTTATTATTACACCAAGTCAAAGTAAAGGCCCCGCGCTGGAAAATAGATGTGTTTTCGGGTGAATGTAAGTTTCACGCTGCAGGCTGTTTCTCCAGCTCTTTTTTACTGGTAATTGAGCATCTGCGCTGTTGTTAAATAACAGTCACCAGGTTTGCACTATTTACGTGTTGCCATGCGTGTGTCACTACTGGCGTGCTGCTGGTTTTCCAGTGATTGTGCAAGGGCGTGAGTAACACCGGCCCCCGCGAGCCCGTTCCAGGTCCCAGCTGTTTCAGACTGCTTTGGACTGCTACCGACCCTATGGAAACGAGGCTCCAGTGACCATCATCAGAAGAGCCAGGTGCACACAGCTGCTGCCAGAACAGGGCTGTGTCTTAGCTTCATGTGAGCCCTGGAGATAGGACATCAGAACCACTCCCACCACTACTATCATCAGAAGTATGCCTACTCTATGCCCACTATGTCTAACTATGCACACCGTCTACCAAAGTACTGACTATGGACGAGAGGTAGTTAGCAGCTTGAACACTCTCACACAGCGAGCAGGCTACAGCACACTCACTGCACTCACATGCATGTATTAATGAGTTAGCAGACTCAGTCCTATTTACCTGAACCCACCAATAGAGCAGTGTTAACGGGACTATGACTAGGAGGAACATTGGGGTGAGGGCACAGCATATGAGCAGCACATTCAGAGTGTACCAGAAAGTGCGCATCCATATGTCTATATTTTCTGGAATGTGAGAGTCAATAGCATCCACGTCTTTGCTGAAGCGGTTGAGTAACCGCCCAGTGGGAGTACTTTCGAAGAAGGTCTGAGGGGCTCGCAGGACCCCGCACAGCAGCTTGCGGTGTGTGATTTTGGCTGCGAGCAGCATACTGTAGGCCCGACACAGCAGGCAGTTTACCAACAAGAACAAACCTGCGGAGAGGGGGGACAGGTTAACAGCCACTCCAACTGTCAGCACCTTGCCCTCACATGCCCACTGTAAACATCACTGTACATGGCTCTAACAGTCTAGTGTCTAAACAAGATACATATGCTCCTCTGTAAGACAATGACATTCCCTTAAAAATCAAGTCCAACACAAGATGTCTCCAGCAGCCCTCAGAGAACTACCTAAAACAAATGTGGTGTTATTTATGAGACTACTCTAGTGTAATAACACTGACTCAACACCAGGTGGAACCAAGAAAGACAACAGAAGACCTTTTGATTCAAACAGATCAGATAATCTGATTAGATGATGTCACTGGGGATAGTAGTGCTATGTATGTGTAGGCCAAACAGTGCCTATGCAGAGTGCCTGCAGGGAGAGCAAAAGGAGGAAGCAGCACCAGCAGAGAAAGGCTTAGACTCCGGTGTGCCAGGCTACAAGAGAGGGACAAAAAGAGCACGGTTAAAGCTGGGCATGGGCATTATGTGCATGCAGGAGGTGCGCCAGGACAAAGACATCCATCGCTCTGGAGAGAGGGGCTGTACCTGTACAAACACGTATATGAAAGTCAGCGGCACGATCACCAGCGCGAAGAAGGGCGTGCTGGAAACAATGACTATCATGGTGGACAGCGAGACAAAGAAGGTGCCCAGGAACATGAGCACGGTGGCGGGCAGGGCCTCGTCAATCACGTACACGTCCTTGGAGAAGCGGTTGATGATGCGGCCTATTGGCGTGGTGTCGAAGAAGGACTGGGGTGTGCGCAGTTTATTGTTGACGAGGTTTAGGTGGAGCCTGCGGGCCGCTCCGATGTTGCCCATGTACAGAGTGAGGGAGGAGATCATGACCAGAATACCTGAAGTGGAGAGGGGTGAGGGGAAGGAGGTCAGACTCCATGGGTTAATATAAGACTGGAAGAGCTTCGGTCCTGTGGCTATAAGAAGAAAAGGACTCCAGAAAAATTGTGATGAAAATGTAAGAAGTAAGGTTAATACTAGCTATAATACTGTAGGAAAACAACACAATTGATCAGTGATTAAAAAAAAAACCCCAAAAAACACACAAAGAGATTAAATCTGGAATACTGAACATTTCCCATAGAAAACTCACCTGTCCTCCATCTTTAAATCATTTCAAAAGTCACAACATAACATGCATTCTATAGAGCTTATGTGTCATTTAACATCATGGGAACACTCTGCAGTTTGCATTAGCCAAAACAAACTCAAAATATACGTAAAGTTGTGGTTCTCAAACTGTGGTGCGTGTGCCCCAAGTGGCAAACAAGCTTGCTGTACTCCACCTTGTGATGTCATGATGTGGTAGTTTTCAAGTAAACAGCTATCTTTTACATTTAGTCCAGCAGAAATGACCAATTTCAGGACTGAAATGATCCTAATTATTTTAGTGACAGTGTATGGAGTTTAAAACACAGTGGAGCACTTCCTGTATTATCATATGACATCAAGTAGAAGGAGAGAGAAGAGAGAAAAACTCAGCCTAAATCTGCAGGGTTTGTGTGTTAAACATGTGTGAATGAAACAAAAGTGGACTCCAGGTCTGTTTGTGATGAGCAAACTACATTAGAACAGATCAGAAAATAGAGTAATATGCGGGCTTTAAAAAGACCTATTAAGGTTTTTGAGTAGTTGATATTAAGTTACGTAGCTCATGTTTTCACATGGTGTAAACCACACTCTAAAGGTTAAGGTACACTTTATTGTCCCCATAGGAAAATTTGTCCTCTGCATTTGACCCATCCTTCAATACAGGGGGCTGTTTGCAAAGCACAGGGGACCCATCTGCAGATTTTGTGTTGGTCAGGACTACCTTAGCTGGAGGATTATACCTAATATTGATCAAAAACAGCTTAATAATATGAATAGTGACATTTACTAAGGAGCAGATTTTTTATTTACTTGTTTTTGTTTTAATCATTGATTAATCTGAAATAAAAGTACAGAAAAGTGGGCGTGGACAGGTGAAAACAGTACCGTATTTTTCGGACTATGAGGCGCACCAAATTATAAGGTGCAATATCAGTAATGTTGAATTCTCTCGTCTATTTTCATACATAAGTCACACTGGATTATAAATTGCATAAGACCGATACTTAGTCCAGGCGTCCATGATCCACTGGCAGATCGTGGCATAACTCGCCCGGCGTTGCCACCCTGTCTTGCTGAATGTGTATTATGAATGTGAATGTGGATTTAATTTAAGTTTTACATTTATTTCCTACAAGTAGGACTCAAATACGCATTGAGTAATAATGTGTTTAATACAGCTTTGTCACATTTGTTTACATTTTACAGAAACAAACCTTAAAACCACATGGCTCATTTGCATAAGCTATAAGTGCTAAACCCCCCCCCCCAAAAACAGCTCACTCCTTGTACCCTGATGCGGTCAGCGTCTGTCGGACTAAAGGACACGACTCATAATGACATTATGACAGATTTTTGAGCACCATGTACCACCTTAAAGCGGTTTGAGGTCAGTAAGCACAACCAGAATTTATACATAAGGCACACCGATTAAAGGATTTTAAGTGCGCCTTATAGTCCGAAAAATACGGTAATTTTCTGAGCCCTCAAGACAAATCAACTCAAAATACAATTTTAAGTAAGCTACACAGTTAGCGGGGTTAAAAACCTCATAGAAGTTTTTTTTTTTTTTTGCATCATTTGGAGTCAGTTTTATCCATGTTACTGTTGTACTGTTTTGGGCTGACCCTTGTTTAGAACGTCTGTAGTAATAGAATAGTCTCGTTTTAAATTGAATAGTTCTGTAATAGATATAATAGTACTTGGATAGAACTTGACTATTCCGATTACTATGCATTTGTTCAGTATTCCCGTGATGTTTTGATGACATTCTTGTGAGCTCTATGGACAGAAACAGTGAGCACGCTTTAATATTTAATATTCTAGAAGAATATTAAATTTCTATTTCTAGAAGAATATTAAATTTGTGTGATTTTAAAAAAGTTTAAAATCACATACAGAAAGTGAACTATGAGCGTGCTAGATTTAGTTAGCATCACTGTGAATAATGAGGATGCTGTGAATGCATAGGTAAGTGAGGAATAACTTCAGAGAGCTGTGAACTGTTTAAAATGAACTAGTTGTGTTTTTCACATGTTTAAGATGACTAGTGAAGCCCATCCACTGTTGTGTCCCACTGTTGCATTTGACTGTAGCTGAGTGGAGGACTGCTCACCTTGTGCAATGCCCAGTGCGGCGTACACCCCCACCCTCATGTTGACGCGCTCCTGTGTGTGGTTGGTGTTGGCGTCATTGGTCCAGTCGCTGAGCCACACATTAGCTCCGATGGCGGCGGCGCTCTGGCAGCCGTACAACAGGCAGATGATCACTGATAGTGCCAGGCCCACCGCTTTGGCGTACTCCAAGTACACGGTCACCTTCACCTAGTGTGGGCCAGTGGGACACAAAGGGTTAACTAGGAGACAAACGTGCACTCGCCATGTTAAAGCAGACCTAGTATGCAAAATCAACTTTTCAGAGCTTATATGTTATAGTTATTTCTCCTCAGTGAGTGATTCATGTTTGAGCAATCTTTAATTGCTTATTTTCAAAGTACCATATTTTCTGTGGTACAAGTAGGATTCTGTAACATTGCGTAGTCATTTTGGTACAAATCCGCTACTATCCATCGGAGGTACTGACACTTTGCTGTGGTAGAAGTCAGTGGAATTGTTTCTTTTATTCATTTTTATGTATTTATTAGCAACAGACACACGCACAATAGGTCTCCTTTAAAAAAGACATCATATGCTTTTGTCTGCTCTATAGTTATAATCTGACATCTATGGATCATTATGTTATCATCTGGACATTTTAAATTGCAATATTCATCTAAAACAGTCTTCTCAAATAGTGGAGCGATGCCAGAGGGGACATGTGTGACCTCGGGGAACGTGTTTTTTTTTTTTTTTTTTTTGCTGTCCTAGAATAAAGTGTAATTGCACATCCACTACAGTAGTTGCCAGTGACGCTCTCACTGTCAGAGTGTGCTCAGGAAGTATTAGCACTATAGTGTTGGGTATAGTGTCACACAGCACAGAGCAGGAGATATGAAGTGCAGAGAATAAACTGTATATAAAGCGTATGTAGCGCTCAGCTTCACTGTGACTATGGTGGGAAATGAGGAAACACCGACGTGTTTACTGTGTCTAAATTGTTGGCAGCGGACAGCATGAAGACAAATAAATTACTGCATCTCTTAAAGACATTACACCCCAATCAGGCTGATAAACCCGGGACAAACGCAGCATGTGTCCATCTGTATTGGACACATGCTGGGTGTGCAACTGAAGGCGAGGGTGTGATTTGTCCACGTTTGGTAGTGGTTCTGTGGAGTGGAGAGGGCGTGAAATGTTTTCTTCTTGCTAGGGGGGCGAGACAGAAAATAATTGAGAAGCACTGATCTAAAATGATGTGGTATCCAACGGGAGCTTACGTCGCCCTAAACGTCATCACAACAAAGAGCCTTGTAGCTGTCGGCACCTCTGATGGATAGGTGCAGATCACACTAGAGCAGGGGTCTCCAACCTTTTTTTTCTAGTGAGCTATGTTTACAAAACAAAAATGTCAGAGACTTTTAGAGGTCACAAGAAATGTATAAGAGCCATAGCAAGCCTTAGATGAGGTACAGCTTGATGCCTAAAAAACATAAACCATTATCCAATCATCAGTTCACAAAGTTAGGCATCACAATATGTGTATTCAGAAATCCCTTGGCGAGTTACTTGGAAGGGGGTGGAGAGCTACTGGTCCCGAGCTACAGGTTGGAGACTCCAGGCCTAGAAAGTGGCAGATCATTTATCATTTTTTTACCACGGCCCCCGACTATGGATTGAAGATATGTTTAAGTGAAAGTTAAACCTGCTGGAGTTTCACTGTACTTATTTGTGCTATAGAGACCAAATATTAAGCAACACCGTTCCTAGCATGTCTGCAAAAGTTTCATAATGCTGAATTACTAGACGCCCCTGAACCTCTCTTAGCCCCCCCACTCACACCCATTCCATTCTTTGACCTGTGGACTGGTACAACACCACCCTGACAGGTAGTGCTGGTGTGTGCCTGTACCTTGCCGGTCTCTGTGGTCTCTGCTTGGATGAGTTTGTCCACCTCCTGAGGTTTCTTCTTCTCCTGGGGCTCTCCGTGCTTCTTCTGACTACAGGTGTGTCTCCTCACAGATCGACACCGCGCGCCCTCACTGTCCGCTGAGATGATGCTGATCTGCCTGGAGTAAAGGAACAAGCTTTGAGTGATGGGACTGCTGGAGGGTGTGCACAAAGTGAAATCCGATACATCCATAGTGATTTACGTTAAATGAAATTAAAGGTCTTATATTATGCACAAAATGTACTCCTGTGACCTAATCAAAAACATACCTGGAGTTGTGTTTTGTTTCTTTCACACATGTTTGAGTAATCCTTACCCCCATACTATTATAACATGGATTAGAAAAAGCATAATATGAGACTTTTAAATTCATCTTGTTGAGTGTTTTCAATCATTTAGGTTTAGTTACTAGTCCAGGGTTGACTTGTTTTAAGCCAAATTGTCAGCCAGTGTATTTATGTAAAGGAGTAATATGTAACATTTCTACCTGCTTTTTTCCGTACAGATGTTATTACATGGCTGGAATGTTTCACAGTATGGCATTGAGCATATATATCTCTAGCTGACTATGGGCCAGTGAAAATCCTATGTAAGTGTAATACCGTAAAAAGCTCCTCTTGGCTTCATTGATGGTTGGTTCATTGTCCACAATGTCTGTGTGGTTACTGAGCGCATCTTCAGGGAACAGTTCCTCCTCTTCTAGTATATCCTCTGTGAAAACAATCACGTTATGCACATGCTGTATTCAACACTACAGATTTTCATGTTTCTCTAATTATGACTTTTTTTTGGGTCTATTTTTGTATAGGAACACTATGTAAGATTCCATAAACATGACCTAACTGTGTCCCCAGATATGAGGTATCTGTTAAACTAAAATATAGGTATCCTATAATAGTCTCTATTCATTCTTACATTCCAAACCAGGAAGACGTTTGGAAACATGCAATGACAACTTCCATTGTAGTTCCTGACACGAAGTAAACGTGATCAGAGGTAAAATGAAGACTGCAGATGTATGTGCTGTTTGGAAACATCTTAAATTTGGAGCCTCATCTCTTCTAATCACATGTACCAGTGCGCTCAGAGTTGTGTGTCAATGGGGAAATGATGAAAACTGTTTTTTCAACTGTGGTATGGTTGTAAATGTTGATTAGACACCACAATGATATGAAGATGAAGAAAACTGGGACATTTTCTCATTTTTTTGGTCAGACTTACTATGGCAAACAGAGCCCACCGGAAGTTGTCATTGCATCTTTCCAAACGTCTTCCTGGTTTGTGATGTCAGTGTGAATAGAGACTATTTGGTGTTTTGATTCTCAAGATGGTTTTCCAGTCAGAAAGCAGAATGAGCCTCACATGAGTCTCTCATTTGGGTTGCCAGTTTCAATGCTGAAATCCACTTGGTTTAACTCTAAAATGCCTCTCTCTGATCTGAGTGGTCACTCCCTAAACCCCAGCACCTCTACCAGTCATGAGTCAGTGCTAGTGCAGCCTCTGCAGCTCAGTGAGGGAATTCTGGAGGTTCTGAGCTTTCACATAAGGCATATACATATGTCCATATAGAGAATAGTGAGAATGAGACAATGGATGTGTCCTCTATCTGCAGGTTAAGGCTCTGGCAATCCAGGTTCAGTTGTGATTGTAATACATTCATCCCTCACTATAACATGGTTCACCCTTTGCGGCCCCGCTGTTTTGTGGCCCTGCTGTTTTGCTGATTTTTTTTGTGCAATTTTGCATGCTTTTTTTTTTTTTTTACAGTGTATGAATGCGTATTATGTTCCTCCCCATGTCCTGATTGGCTAAGGGACTGTAGGCCATTGTCGTGCCGTGTCTCCTGTACAGTACGGAATGCGTTCAGCCAAAATTACATAAATGTTAGGTCTCCAGCAGTGTGATTCTGAAGTGCTGTATGTTTGCAAGTTTTCTCTCTGACAAAACCCACAATGTCGACGATACGTTCTGCACTGACAAAGGCTCCTGCAGTCGCACCCAAAAGACAGAGAAAGATGCAAACCATCGCAAAAAAAGTTGAACTTCTGAACACGCTGAAGGAAGGTAGAAGTTACACGGCTGTAGCCGCCATTACGGAATAAATTAATCTTCGGTTTGTTACATAAAGAAGGAGGAAAATAACATAAGGACAACAGCAGCAATAGGTTTTAAGAAGGATACAAAAAGGGTTGTAACTGTCGTGTCTGGGAAAACTGTATAAAGTGTGTAGTGAGGGGTTTTACAGCCTTAAAACAGATATAATTATTGTAAAAAGTAAAGCTGACTACTTCCCGGATTTTGCCTATTGTAGGTCATTTTTAGAACGATAAATGAGGGACCAGTGTGCTTTGTTTTTAAAACAGTAAGAGTGCAGGCTACATGCATTTCCTTTAATCATATATTATATTGTAGTTCTCATGTTCTTTCCTGGATTTGTTTTTCGACTGGTGGAGCTGGTTATAGATCTTTTATCTTGTATAAACTACAGTGCAGCACTACAGAATATTAAATTAAAGTGTTAATAAAAAATATGCTACATAACTAAAGTGGATTTAAGTGGATAAGTGGATTTGCATATCAGCCTGAATGATTTCAGCTTAATCCTCGTTACCGGTGGCCTCGTCCTCCTCGATGATGTCCTCCAGGGAGTAGTTGCGGAGGAACTCGGCGAAGGCCCCGTTCTGTTTGAGCAGCTCCTGGTACGAACCCATCTCTGACACGCCCCCCTCCACCATCACCATGATGTTGTCCACCTGCGGCAGGAAGCTGATGCCGTGGGTCACCAGGATACGGGTCTGACCAAACACAGCCAGGCGTTTAGGTTAGAGGAGACCATGACAATACTAAAGGTTTGAACATAAAATACATGGAACCAGTGCTGAAACAGATATTTAGAAAAGAAAAGAAAAACATTAAATTTGTACCTCATTTTAATTTGTGACTTTCAGCTCTTTTATGAGATCTGAATCTTTTGGATCCGTTCAAGTCAAAGAGCCGTTTAAAAGACTTTTTTTTATGCTTTATATATGATAGAAGCAACTGAAAGAGGAAGTGAGTTTCCTTTTTAAAATTTGACAGAATCTAAACAAAACATAATAATAATTTTAAAAGTAACTGTTATTGTGATGCTACATTTGTTTTTTGTGCACAAAGCTCTCACTCTGGCTGCCTATTTGACTTAGAAAGAGGAAGATTCTTCTCTTTTCAAAAATGAGATCTGGTTCCAACAGTTCACTCTAAGGAACCGTTCAAAAGAGCCGACTCCTTCAACGAACGTCACATCACTGATTCATTTATGCAAACTGAGACTATAAAATATAATCTATTCATGTTACATAGCATTTTCTCAGGTAATAATCTCCTAAAAAATATCTTTTTAGAAAATACTTTCCAGTTTCACACGTGGTGCTTAATTTTACAGAAACAAACTGTATTTCTGTATCTACTTCTGTTTGTTACTTTGGATGTAACTGAAGTACTGTGAGATGGTATCCTCAAATGTACTACAGAAATATACAGTACAATGCAGTAGAACAGAGGGAACTACAGAGAACTACATGACAATATAACGGTTATTTAGCACTTTTAAATCTGAATTCTTCTGACCGTAATGATTCTCACTAAACTCTTGTCAAAACATTTAAAAAGGAAAAATTTGCATTTCTAAAACTCTTATATTATAAATACTTATTTATAAATGTACCATGACTTTTTAAGTACAATTTAGTTACAGCGTCACAGCAACATCACATGACAACACTGCAAATGTAGCGTCTCCCAGTGTATTTCAGTCATACACAGTTCTGCACACAACTAACAGATATTAGCCTTATTCTCTGTTATAGTTAGCACTTTGAAAGTGTTTCAGTCCAAGGCAGAAGTTTCAATGGTTCATCGAGTCATGAGGTTTCAAACTCTACATTATTACTAAGAATTAATCCATCCCAACGCCATCAGCTTCTTAAACATAAAGCATACAAAGGAATTAGACAAAGTTGGCCCAAGGAAACAACAAGAACAGCAACAGCAGTCCAACTGCCAACTTGGTTCCACTACCTGAGTCAGAATGAGTAGCACTAAAAAGCCCACTAGATGGTGCTGTAGCTCTCTCTCTGACAGATTTTGGAATTTGGAATATTCCAGACAGAGCAGGTGGTGGACAACTAGAAACTAGAAAGTTTGCATAGAGCTCCTTTAAAATGGTTGCATGTGTGTAGACTCTCTGTCAGTGCATCGTCTGGGTGTAACTACAGATCTGTCAACTGATTGGAGTTTGATAGGAGGCACTTTAAAGGTCATATGTTGAGCAAAATTGGTTCTTGTGAACTTTAAGTCATTTCAGAATGTTGTTAACTCCTCAAAAAACATATCTGGAGTTGTATTTTGTTTCATTTCCATGTGTTTTCAGTAATCCTCTATTATGAGAATTAGTATTACCTTGAAAATGACCACCTCCTTATGAGAGAAGAACAACTACCTTTTACCATTTGTTCAGTAGAGCTGACAATTCCAGAGCTAAAATGATCCAGATGATTATAGTGAAGGTGAAGGTGAGAGAAGAATATAGCCTAAATCTGCAGGGTTTGTGTGTTAAACATGTGTGGTTGAAATAAAACACAACTCCAGGTCTGTTTGTGATGAGGAAACAACATTAAATCATAAATCAGAAAATATGGTAGTATGGCACTTTTAACGACAGGATCATTACAGTGACTTAAACAGCAGACTGGTTCAGTCACTTATCACATGTACACAGAAAGCTCTGATAAAGTACTTCACATTACGCTTTCACGGGTTTTCACAGCTCATAACAACCTCAGCTTGGACTTGTCTAGTGTTTAACCCACAGACTGTTACTGCCAGTCACCATTCCTGCCTATGTCATAATGTCATTTGCAAGTATTTGTTTGACTTCTAAAAATACATATATATAGAATAGTGTTGATATAGTTATTTGCATCCATGTTTTGCATAGTACTATTTATTTGTGGTAGTGTCGTAGTACTCAACACTGGTCTTGGCCTCAAGACCGTGTTTTTACGGTCTTGGTGTCATCTTGGACTCGACTGCGTTTGGACTTGGTTTTGTCTCGGTTTTGAAGGCACTTGTACTGGGTCTTGTCTCGGACTCGAGGTTTGAAACTCGCTCAGTGTGATCATATTTCATCACGGCTGCTGTTTAGGATTAGGAAAACAGGTTTAAAAATCCTACCTACTTTCTTCACCTTCTTCACAGTTTTCTGTAAAGTGCCATTGGAAGTTCTCTTAAAGGGGTTCTCAAACTGTGGATGAGGGTCCAAAAAGTGCAGTACAATTTGCTTGACTTATTTTAGGCCTAAATGAACATTAATCAGATAGAATGGAGATAGATTTATAAAAAACATTGCTATATATGTGCCAAAATAACTGTAAAATACAAATAAACGTCGAAAATTACAAAGATGGTCTCGATTTGGTCTCGATGGGCCATGGTCTTGGTCTTGTCTTGGTTTCAACCTATAAAATTCTTGCTCTTGACCCTCAGAGGTCTTGGTCCAGTCCTGGTCTTGGGTCCCTGTGGTCTCAGACTGGTCTTGGTCTCGATTATTGTGGTCTTAGCTACAACACTAATTTGTGGTCTAATGATGTACCTCTACGTACACAACCTAAACCAGGTCTCTGCCAAATAAGTAAATAAATAAGATTAAAACAGCTTCATCAGTTTTGAATAAGACTAAGATTACAATAGGAATTAAAGGGCCCATGTTATGTTATTTTCTGCTCTGTAATAACATCAATGTGTTCCCTCATCACAAACACACCTGGAGTTGTGTTTCGTTTCATTCACACTTGTTTAACACACAAACCCTGCACATTTAGGCTGTGGTCTTCTCTCTACACTGAAAACATGTTGCATATGGTAATACAGAAAGAGCTCCACTGTGTTTTTAAACTCCATGTACAGTATCTTCACAAGAAATGGATGATTTTGGTGGTGGAATTGACCATCTCTACTGTTCACCTGAAAATGACCGCTTCACGTCACAAGGTGGAACTGAGCATTTTGAGCTTTGAGGATGTAGACTAATAATAAAGAATTACTCAAACATGTGTGAATGAAGCAAAACACAAGTCTGGGTATGTTTTTGAGGAAGTAATGACATTATAACATGGCTTAAAGCTCACAAGAATCCATTTTGTGTACTGTAATATAGAACCTTTAACCTACACATTGGGCATAAAGCAATATCAAATCTAATATGACTAAAACAAGACTAAAGTAGGAACATTTCTGTACAATTTCTGTGCCCCCTCACCCTCTCTAATCTTCTTCTATTAACCCAAAGTTGGTGCACTATCAAAAGTGCAGTAACACAGATAGTGACATATGAGAATGATTACAGATGGTAGCTTTAAGTAGAATTATTTAAATTTGTATTAAAGTTGTACTAAACCGCGTCTAAACAAGATCTAAATTAGCCAAAAGACCCAATATTCTCAAGTATAAATGTAACAATAACTGAAATATTGTGAAATTGTATCGTCAAAAGTCTCACAATAATACAAAAATAAATTGGATTTACAAGTCTCTTTTCTTAAATTTATAATAATGGTGATTTTAATGTCTTTCTTATTCTGTAAAGGACATTGAATTACCGGTACTTCTGTGTACAAACTGTGCTATATAAATAACCTTGCCTTGCCTTGCCATGGCACAAAAATAGCTGAAAAACAGAGGGAACTACGTAGACCATGATCCTTTGGTGTTGTCCTTGCAGACTACCTGATGAAATACAGTGGTTGTTATTAAGCACTTTTAAATCTTAATTTTCCATATTATAACAGTACCAAAGGTTTTTCAAGGTTGTTCCAAGGCTTTTAAAAGAAAAAAAGTAGCATATTCACAATTTTGTAAGCCTCCACAATAAATATAGGGCCGTAAGAAAATAGTGTATCGAGGGATTTTGATATCGTTACATCCCTACCCCCAAGTAGCCCCCGAAGTTACACAGCTGATTTTAGAAAAGAAAAAGGATCAACCTTTGCTAGTTTTCGTGTGTTCTGACCTTGCCCTTGAGCGCCCCCTCTGGTCCGATGAGGTGGTCGAAGATGTGTTTGGCCACGTGAGCGTCTACAGCAGACAGAGGGTCGTCCAGCAGGTACACGTCTGCGTCGCTGTACAGGGCCCGTGCCAGGCTCACCCTCTGCCTCTGCCCTCCAGACAGGTTAATGCCCTGCACACCACAAAAGCACTCATTTATGACATTTAAATACACAAGAAACACAAAAACACTACAGAGATCACAATGCTCTCATCTGAAATTATTTTATATCCACTGTCTTTACTCAAAGTGCAATCCAATCCAATGCAACTTTATATGCACATTTAACACAAAATCTCCAAAAATGCTGCACAGAGTAAGCACAATATATATTAACACATGAAATCAAATAAAGCATAAACAATAAATACGCAAGTCAATAAAAAAAAAAAAAAAAAAAAAAACAACATCAAAAAACTAAAATGAGCAAATAGAAAAGGGCGCGTTGATGTTTTTTTTTTATTTTTTATTGCATTAACTAATGAATTCATTATCCCTTATAATTATTTATCTTATCTTATTATTTATTTTTTATTGTAAATGCCTGTGGCTCACTGGTTTTTACTTTGAAAAAGTCCATTGTGGAGTAAAAAAAAAAGTTCTAGGAATTGACAAATTGCACTGACAGTGTTTTTTGGGTACCGTTTTTGACTGAGATTCTCATTTTTATATCAAACAGGATAACAGGATAACACTGATGCCCTAGCAGTGGCAATACATTTCAGTTTTGTATTAATTTGATTAGATTGTTTCAGCTGAGATTTACACTGCATACTTTTATTTTACTGTTCTTTTTTGTATTTAAATGCTGATCACATACACTCACACACACAATCACATACACTTTACTATTCAATTGAATTTGTTAAATCAAATTCTAGGAATTGACAAACTGCACTGAAAGTGATTCAGTGACCAACATGCATTCAGTGAGGTTCTCTCAAGGAAGAAGTATAAACATGGACTTTACAGACTAGTGCCCTGCTACTGTATAAAAACATGCTGTTTGCCAACAGATGTGTGGCATTTTCGTTTACATTTCCAATAAAATGCATTAAACGGCACTTTTGAATTCATTATTGGGTTTTGCGTATAACATGCGATTAATCACAATAACTCATGTGATTAATGTGATTAAGATTTTTTAAAATTTTTGTCCAGCCCTAAAAATTAGAAAATAAAATCAATAAAAGACAGTCAGAGGACCTCACAATTTTCACGCTGTGTTAAAATCCACTAAGTAAAAGTGTGTTTTTAAACGAGATTTAAAAGCATCGACTGAAGGGGCGGTGTTAATGTGAGGAGGCGTGTGTGTACCTTCTCTCCTATTTCAGTCATGTCTCCTCCAGGCAGTACTTCCAGGTCAGGGGTGAGAGCGCAGGCCTCCAGTACACAGCGGTACTTGGCCTCTTGGTAGGGTTTCCCAAACAGGATGTTGTCCCTCAGGGTGGCGTTCTGGATCCAGGCCTGCTGAGGGACATAGGCCACGGAGCCCTGCGCAGGAAACACATGTGAGGCAGCTTCCACTCACAGGACATTATATAGAACATATTTATACCAGTGGATGTAAGCAGTGGTGGAATGTAATGAAGTGAAAGTAGAAATGTTCAGTACTTAGGTGACAAAAAAAAAAAAAAAAAAATGACACAACTTTTACTTCACCACATTTGAGAGCATGTATCTGTACTTTGTACTTCACTATTTTTTAACTGGACTGAAAAGTAAATGTATTTTTTATTTTTGACTGAGACCTTCTGAAAAGGCTGAGGGTTTATTTTTAACATGTTCAGAGTTTAAGCAAACAAAAATATACAAATAAAACAGCTACAAAAAATAATTGATTCAGTTGTTTCTGTTGAGCACAACTCCACATAAATCTTTATCAAAATCACTACATCTGAAGCTTTATTAGATCTCAAAGTCTGCACAAAATACTTAGCACTTTTTATGTACATTTTTAAAGGGGTACTTAAATACTTTTACTTAGATGGCCCATATATATGATACAGTGAATGTTTACGATAATGTTCAAACTTCAGATTTATAGCCTTTCCTCTGAACCGTAGAAAGATATCAGTGACTATTTTTAACACCACAGTATGTAACTTTTTAGTTACAGTATGTAACTTTTTAGAAAAATGATATAAAGCATGTTCAGCTTTGTTGCTTGTTTGGACAAAGGAAACTCATTTATGCAATACATTTGATATTTTCACGGTCGATTACAATGGGTTTGTTGCTCGTAGAAGCAATGACCAGTGCCACAGTTTGATGTGTTCTTCTAGTTAATAAGACGCACTAAACAAAAAGCACTTTGTCAGTCTTTAAAGGGATATAATCATGAATAAGTGGGCCCCAAAGCCTTTGTTTTGTTTTTGTTTTGTAGTGCTTTATTGTTCCTGTAGGTAAATTGTCCTCTGCATTTCATCCATCCTTTCAGGGGCCGTGGGCAGCACATGGGGCACTGGAGACCCATCTCCATGATCTTGTTGCTAGGCTTGGTCAGGACTGCCTTAGCTGGAGGACTTTTGCATGCAAACTCCACACAGAAAATCCCGAGGATCAAATCTGGAACTTTCTTCCTGTGAAGCCTGAGTGTGAACCACTCGCCTTAATGACACCCAGTCCTAGTTTTAGCTTTCTTTTTCAATGGAATCATGCCACCTCCAGAATGTTACATACTGCACCTTGCACTGCAGAACTTTTCTGGGAAAAGATCTCCATGGAAAAGATTTTCTTGCCTTGAATTTTCCATAGTAGGGCTTTAAAGGACCCATATTATGCTCTGTTATATTGTTGTTTCCTCCACAAACCCTTTAGATTTAGGCTGTTTTTTTCTCTCAAACAGAAAACACTCTGTTTCACCTTGTGATGTCATGTTGTAATGCAGGAAGTGCTCCACTGTGTTTTTAAACTACACACACCATCACTAGAATTATTTGGACAATTTTAGCTTTGGAATTGACAAACTACTGAACATGAGGTAAAAAATATCTGTTAACTTGAAAACTACCACTACATGACATCACAAGGTGGAACAGAGCATTTTGAGTTTTGGAGATGGAGTCAGACTAAAAGTAAAGAAACACTCAAATGTGTGGATGAAAGAATGAAACAAACTCTCAAACAACATTCCAACATGACTAAAAGATCAGATCTAATTGTGTATTTAGTATGGTTTGATCATGTTCAGAATATTTATATTGAAAGCCATTTTTGTTTTTTCATTCACAAAAAAGACAAATGAAATCAGGATCAATCAATATGACAACGAAAATCCATCATACTGCCCAGTGCTAAGATCTATTATCAACCAAAATAGCGAAATAAAAACAACAGGACCATGTAGAGCAGGTAAATGTGAGCTTTTTAAAATGAGGAGTCTGACAGCAGCAGTTACACAGAGAGGGGAGATGTTTTTTCAATACAAAATGAATTTCAAAAGTGGCAGATAGTGGGTTAGTTATGTCCATTCATAAATACACTCTACGGTACGATCACAGTCTTACCCGCACAGACACCTCTCCCTCCAGTTTCTCCATCTCCCCGAGCAGAGCCGAGATGAGCGAGGACTTCCCACAGCCCACATGACCCACCACGGCCAGCAGAGAGCCCTGAGGCACCATCATGTTAATGCTGCAACACAAAGCAAGCACATACTCACAGGCCTGAACCATGTGACTCCCAAACACTAACAAAACTCATGTCATCAACACATCCTGGGTGGCTGGTGCTATAACTGGAGGCACTGCTCTGTCTGAAGCTCTGTCACACAGCTGGCACTCTTTCTTCTCACCGTCTTAAAACTTTTTTGGCTGTGTTTGCTAATGTGTGGATTGTGCCACTGTTGTAACAGCTAATTATTCCGCCATAGGGACGCATGCAGAACCTCCCAGCGTGATCAGCGTGAAATATCCAAAAGGTAAAAGCACAAATGTTGAACCTGATCATTTGGGTTTCTTGTATTAGTTCATCATATTTATACTTAAACAGAGTCCTACTTTTTAAACCTACATTGTAAATTCAGTTGCAATTAAAGTACCGTATTTTCCGGGTTATAAGACGCACTGTTGTTTTCCCGAACTTTTTTCACATATAAACCGCACCGAACTATAAGGCGCGGTAAACGAAACTCAAGAGCTGCTCCCGCTGGTTCAGGACTCTGGTTTGGATCTAGTCCGACTGTATTTCTCACACTAGGCTAAAAGCAGGGACTTTTTTAAGTTGTATCAATTGAATAGGCTATTGCCATAAAATTATTTGGTTAATTAAAGCCTAAAATAACAAATGCTGGTTCCTACATGATCCCGGGGAACACCGGGTCGTCTCTGTGCGTGCAGGTCCTGAACAGACATACACACCCCCAATTTTGACTCACTCTGGAGCCACATGTTCGCTCACTGGTTCTTGCTCTGATCTTCGTGTATCACATTCTCTGTATTGGCCATTGTTGGTAAAATAATTTGAAAATGAATCGCGGCTGCGTCTGGACAACAATCTGTTACTGCGCTGGAGTCGCAGATCAATAGGGACGGAGATGTGTGGAAAAAGCCATCCGGTCTCTTAAGGTAAAATTCTCGCAGCCAGTTGCTCATCTTTTCCTCGTCCACAGGAAAAATGAGGAATCACAGTACGTATTTCTCCACGATGCTCCTGACTACGGTAGCCGTAATACTGCAAGTGGTGCGGCTTTGTCGTTTACTGAAGTTGTACTGGAACACTTGCGGAAATTCATATAAAAGGCGCTCCGGATTATAAGGTGCGCAGTGGTTTTTGGAGGCTTAAAACTGCGCCTAATCGCCAAGGAAAATACGGTACTTTACAATTAACTTTACATAATGTTTTTTTTGCTAATTGTTATGGCATTTTGGTCTGGAAAACTTATTGCTCTACAGAATTTTCTGCAGTATGGCATTAAACAGATGAAGGTCTTCAAGCCAAATTACAGGTCAGATCTATGGAGAGGCGACACTTCTCATGGTAAGAATGAATGTTTTCATGGGGTTTATGTGTAGTAAAACACCTGGAATTATCGGACTCCGGTGGATAACTGATATTTCCCAATACCGATATTTAACAATATTTGCAAGACCCACAAATGTATCTTAAGTTGAAGTAAAGATATATATTGCCCTTCCCCATTTGTCAGTGATTTTTTTCAAAATAAGTTAACTTACAAAAAATAATAATAGCACACAGGTTAGAATAGTACTACATAAGTACTACATAAGCATGAGTAAGCAGTATCATTTCGTTTACATACTTGTGCAAAACTGGTGTATCCTGTTTGTCCCACGTGAATTTCCCATTGATGATGGTAGCAGCAAACTCTGAGGAGAGAGAATGACTGTTTGAACAGGAAAGACTAACGTGTCCTCACATTTGTACACTATGACTAAGACAGGATTCTGCAGGACACACCTCATTTCTTTTTTAAAGTTACTGTATTTACATAATAGATTCTCACTGGGAGCATCACAGCTATGAATGAACATGTATGGAATGCAGTGAACAAAACAAACTAACTCATTAAAAATAATTAAAAACTGGTTTTACATGTTTATTAGAGTTTTATGAACCAATGAATATAAATGTTCACCTTTTACTTTATTATTTCTTTTGACCCTGACAAGGCACACAGTGAAATGAAAACCATTTCAGGTCACTTCATCCTGAAGCTCACTGAGAGAAGACCAAAGGTTTGTAAGGCTGTCGACTTTGAGGATTCAAATATTTAGTTATTTTGTTTCATGATTCCATTGATGCTGCATCACATATTTGATGTTGTACATATGCACCCGAAAAGTACAAAGTAGAATTCAAAGAAACTCAAGTAAGAGTAAAACAATATTACAACGAGTAACAGTACAACTAGTAAATAGGAGTAATTGTAAGAACTAGGCAGTGAGTAGAGAGCTGTGAGTGGATGTGATTGAAAACATGTTAAAAACTGCTCAAGTCAAATGAATACTTGAGCGGAGGACACTTCTGTGTTCAGGAAGAGAGATGTTTATGTCTCAATGCCAACACAAAAAGACATTTTCAGGCATAATAAAGATTCAACACCACAAACTGAGGATTTTACACATATAAATAATGGGGTAGTCTAATAGGCTGTTTACATTATGTTTTAGGATTTGAATAAAAGTGCTGTTAGCTTTGAGACACAGTGATCTAGATCGTGCACAGAGCCTGTTCTAGACTCACAGCGGGAAGAGTAACCAAAACATTTACTCAAGTAAGAGGATGCTTTAGTTGTTGTTGTACCTGATCCTTTTCTGTCCACAGACTCTGGATCCAGCTCATCATGACTCAGGAAATTCTGGATCCTCTTCAGTGAAACGCTGGCCTGCCAAACAAAACACAGAGCAGGGTCTAGGCACGGTTCACGCTCCAACAAGTCAAATGGAATGCTTTTTCATGTCATTATAGAGCACTTTTTTATTTAGACATACATTTAAAAGTATAGTTCAAGAAGATTATGAGTTACAATAACAAACATAAACACACACATTCTCCATGCTTTGTGGAAACATACATACTATATTAATTTCCATGAGAGCAACCTTAACCAAAATTGTTAAACATGACCCTTAATTTAAAAGGCCCATATGACGTTATTTTCTGATCTGAACAAAAAAAAAAAAAAAAAAACGGTACAAAGTTCAACATATTCTGTGTCAGTATAAATAATCTAAAATGTCAGGTTGCTTGAATGTCTCCGATTCTCCCACAGAATTATACAGACCCTTTCCCACCATGTTCTAGCACATTATTATGATTATCTCCCCATTAAAGTGCCACTGACAGCTTTAAACTACTCATTTAACTAAAACACAGTTAAGATTCAGTTAAGAAGTCCAGTTCGTTTTCCCAATTTGGCCGTTTGTTAAGGTTTTAAATTTTACTTCTCGCTAGGGAGTTCCATATCTGTGATTTAGCAAAAGTTCTAGAATGTACAAAAAAATGATAACAATTCATTTTGTGGTTCAAAGTGTTACATAAGCCCTATTCATACATATACCAGAGGGTCCCCTTGTAAATTGCAATAATTACTAGGGCTGGGTATTATTAAGAAGTTGCCGATATGATACAAATCTCGATACAGTTCACTTTTGATTTGATGCAATAGATTTCAAATCGATTTGATATGATTCAGTAAAAAACAAAGGGTAAATCATGGCTGTGATACTAAAAGTCTTTGTTAAACCACTTCTTGTGCAAAGTTCATAAGAAACACAAACAGTGAAAATGTCAAATGTGTTGCATAAATGAGCTTCCTTCCTCTAAACAAACACCAAAACTGTAGCACTGTAACAAAATGATTTAGTAAAATATACCAAAAAATACTCTTGGTGATATATTGATATAGCAGCCCATGATATCGATACTGTATCATCATATTAAACCATTTGATATATCGATATTTCAATATTTTTGTACACCCCTAATAATTATAATTGTCATCTGTGTTTCTAGTCCTGTGCGAATTGTCCATGTGTAAAAATGTCTGTAAAAAAATTCACTGAATTTGACCTTCTGTAATTCTGCAAACTCAAAAGTCCTCAGGTAATTCTAGTCCTGTGTGAACACTCAGGTCTGTAAACTAGCCTGTTTTTTGTCTTGAAGCTAATAGTGATTGAAAATATGTTAAGAATCCCTCAGTCGTCCAGGTAGAATCCATGGCAAGGAGAAAAAAAATCAGTTTGTCGACTGAACAAAAATTAAGTTTGGTTGAATACGTTTTGCAGCTCATCCAAGCTGCTTCTTCAGTTCTAGTCAGAATGCTGATGGACACTTATAACAGATATAAGGAAGTGTCCACCAGCATCTGACCAGAACTGAAGAAGGAGACTAACTTTTGTCCAGTTGACAAACTGATTTTTTTCTCCTCATCAGTGATTGAAAATGTCTCTACGGCCCATTTTAGGTCCAAATATGAACAAAATCAACAATTTATTCTCCACAAACAATACTCTAATCCAGTTATTGTATTTTTCTACAATTAAAAAGTAAAAAAACCAAACAAAACTCAAACTGTGATAAAGACATGAACCAGTGCAATGTTTGTAAAGTTCAGATGGACTGGCTATATTGGTGGAATTCTCCCTAGAGTTATGTCATCAATATATTTAGAATTCTCTACTTCCTGCCTACTTTTTTCAACATACTTTCCAACTTTTCTTTTCAAATTGCTCCTTGATTTGTGTAAAAATACAATTTATATTTACAATAGTTATAATCCCACTGAAATAAGTCAAAATAAGAGAATGATCAAATCTTCCATGACTGCGTTTCGAGCTGCCTACCTGCACCATGCTGCTGATGACTTGGGGGAGCATGTTGAGAGGAAACCGGAGGATGTTGAAGAGAGACAGAGACACAAAGGCCTTCTCCGCATCCAATACGTTGTTCTCATCTACCGTCACGTAAACGGCAAACGTCGTCAAGGCAACCTGTGCACACAAAACCCGTTGATATTTAGGGATGAAAGAACTTTGAAGGTAAAGTGGTGAAAAAGTACATTAGATAGGCCTCTATTATATGCGTTTGAATAGGAGTTTAATTAGCAGACGTGGTGTGAATTGGAAGAAGTAATGAGATAGAAAGAATAGTGACAGACGTAAGGTGTTACATAAGAAATGTGATGGTTTGATCTGCTCTATGGTCTTATGAAGTCCTTCTTCTAACTGCAATTTGATCATATAGGCTCCTTTATTACTTACGGTCATGTACTAGCTCATCATGCTTGATTTTTACTAGCCATAATATGCAATCATATTATAAACTGTGAAATGTAATTTGTCTCAGTTTAGATTCATACGTCTCCAAATGAGTTCAAATGCTGTCAAGCTTTTTATACATTCAATGATATTTTTGCATTTTATGTGCACTGGCAAAAAACTCTGCAATGCAACCTCTGCAAAGTTTGTCCAAACAAGCACTCCACATATTAGATAAGAAACCTATGTCACATCGTTGTTGCTATACTATTTAGACCAGAGGTGCTCGCACTTTTTCAGCATGTGAGCTACTTACAAAATGACCAAGTCAAAATGATCTACCTAATACAAAGCCAAGCAAACTGCACTGAAACACTCTGTGCCCCTTTTTTGGAGCCTCACCCACAGTTTGAGAACCTCTTCTTTAAGAGAACTTCCTCTGGCACTTTACACAAAACTGTGAAAAAAGTGAAGGAAGATTTTTTAAACCTGTTTTTTAAAGTTCCAAACTGGAGTTACAGCCTCTGCACATTTACCAAACCAAACGCACATCGTGACAAACACAGATGCATTTGTGCACTTTTGTTAGACAAACTTCAGCCAAATGTGGCAGTAGGTCTGTTCTGTAGATCCGCTCTATGCTGTAGACCTGCTTTGTGCCAACACTGGAACACAAATTTAGACTTTTTTTGCTTCACGTTTGGTCTTGTTCTTCTAATCAGCCGCACTGTGGGAGGGGCTTGTGTTCGCTGTACGCAGGAAGGAGCGAGAGCGTGAAAAGGCGAGGGGCGGCGTGCTGACGTGAGGCAGATGGACAGGTAGGATGTTTAGGAAGTTGAACCTGCCCTGTGATGCACGCTGGTACACGAGGGCACACGCTGTCGCAGACGAGCCGTGCATAGGGAGCGTGTGTGTTTGTGATGCGCCGTAGAGTCTCCGCGGGTTTCAAATGAGCGCACAGGCTGCACTGAGACGCCCCACACGCTCCTGCACCCGCTACAAGTTTATTACCAACAGCAGCGGCCGTAATGAAATATGATCACACTTGTTGAGCGTCAGACCTTGAGTGAGAGACAAGACCGAGTCCAAACGCGAGTCCGAGACGAGACACGGCGATCTACCCACACGACCTTGGCGATCGACTGGTAGATCGGGATCGACGTATTGCGCACCCCTGATTTAGACAAATAATGTTTGTGTTTCATATGAAAGTGATTTAACATGATTTAGCCTTTATTTTCTGCTGAACTGTATCAAATTGATTTGAAATATATCGTATTGAATTGTATCAAATTGTAAACTCACTGTATCAAGGTATGTATTGTATCGGCAACTTCTTAATGATACCCAGTCCTACGCTTCAGGCATGCTTTTGATGAGAGAACACCATTATAACATGATCGATAGCTCCAAAAAGTAAAGTTAGTAAAGTTTTTAAAATAAACATAAACATAAATAAGAATAAAAATATGATATGGATATATTGCAGTTTTGGCTCTAATTTAAAGCTTGGATTAATGCTTGGAATGCATAAGGTAAGTAGTTCCTTGTAAACTCTTTGCACTGGTCCAAATAATTTCTTAGTTTTGTTTATCACACTTTTAAGAGAGTAAAAATCAGGCACAGCACCTTCAAACTGTACATAAATCAAACACTTCTATGGCTCATTAATGTTTATGATGCTGTTCTGAGTTATGGGCTGTTGGATGTTGCTATGACGTTTCCATGCCGTCTACTGTATGGTCACTTATTTCCAAACATCTGCATGGTCGACTACCTCTAACAGTAAAGCTATGGAAACAGAAGTGCTCTATTTACTTTACTTGGTCAGGGTCAAGGTCTTGGGAGTCATTTTTTTTAAAAAAAAAGGATACATATTGTGCGGCATTAACTTCGTAGACCTTTTACCTGCGTCGTGTTAATTGTTTGTTAAATGTGTTAAAGTGTTAATTCTATTCTCATTTAACCACTTGAAGTTGTGATTAGAATGATTCATGCATGGTTGAATGACCTTTATTTTCCTGTATTCAAGACGTCATTGCTCTGATCTACCCTCATTTGTACACAAACGCTGCTTTGTACTTTTGTTTAGAGATGCAATGATTCAGCGTTTTCAGTTACAACGCCGATTTCAATCCATCAAATGCTTTTCTCTGTGAAGATGTTATTGCTTTGTCTGGAATGTTTCACAGTATAGAATAAAGCCTAGGTCAGATCTGTGGAGAGGCAACCCTGCCCACAGTCAGAATGTCTGTTTTTCAAGGTGTTTCTGAGCTATAAAACCACCTGTAATTGAATAAATGTAAAGTAGAGCTGTTTAATGTCACACTGTGGAACATTCCAGGCAGAGCAATTTCCTTTAAACAAAAACGAAATAAGACAACTGATCCAAATGTTCTATGTGGCTGTTATTAATCTTTCAAGTAACCACAGGACAGCTTTGTATAAATAAAAGTTCAAACATTATGAGACTTTCCAGACCAACTACAACCAGTACTGAATAGTCCAGTTTATACAGTATGTGCAACCAGGATATCGGCTGAACTGATATTTAGAAGCTGATATCCAGTATCATTTTCAGTATCTGAGGATTTCTTTTCTTTTGGTCTGCTTATTGCCAGTATAATGCTTCAGACTGCACTTCAGACAGAAAATGGCTGACATATCCATATAGAAAACAACAGAAAACTTTATATCAAATGCTGTATTTTTCAGACTATGAGGTGCACCGGACTATAAGGCGCAATATCAATAATGCTGAATTCTCTCATCTGTTTTCATACATAAGGTGCACCGGATTACAAGGCGCATTAAAGGACACGACTCAGGGGAATGTGAGTGTTCTTTCTGTGACAGAGGATGTTCTGCTGATGGTGAGTCTGTTCTGTGCTTCTGCTGCATTGGAGATGGTTCATGTGAAATTTTTCAGACATGAAAAATCTTTAAATGTTTGTTTTGTCTTGTCTTTTCATGTATGATATACTAACTTGAAGTGTTGTTCTGTCAAATGTGGGAGGGGATTGGAAATCCATTATCCACCCCCTTTTCAAACCTGCATGTTTGTATCTGCATTTGTATTGTTATGTTGTAAATTGTATGTGCAGGTTTGAAACTAACTAAACTAAACTTTACTCCGTGAGGCTCCTGGCTAGAGACGCCGTAATGCTTGGACAATGTATTAAGCGGCTTCATCGCTTACCAAAGTTGTACTAAAACATTTTGACAGATTTTTGAGCGCCGTGTACCACATAAAGTCAGTTCGAGGTCAGTAAGCAGAAACAGAATTAATACATAAAGCGCACTGACTTATTGCGCACTGACAATTTCCACTGTCCAAAAATATGGTACGGTATGCTTAGCTATAATTTTATTTCATGTCAAATGTCAATGCGTGTCGACTTGTGTCTTCTCAGGGCATGTCATTCACATCAGGGCACGTCATTCACATCAGGGCACGTCATTCACATCAGGGCACGTCATTCACATCAGGGCACGTCATTCACATCAGGGCACGTCATTCACATCAGGGCACGTCATTCACATCAGGGCACGTCATTCACATGCCCCGATGTGAGCACCACATTGTTACTTCACTTAGTGGTGCTCCAGCCAGCGCTCCAACTACATATATTTTTTTGCACCTGCTTATTTGACTGGATCCGACGGACTGGAACATGTATAATCACATTTCACTTGGGGGGACTCAGGAGAGGAAGTAGACAGCTACAGATGTTAAACGTATGTACAGCATGTTTGAATATGTTTTTGCATATGTTGTAAAGCAGTTGTAGTATAGTACTCAATGTTCTACTGCATTGTTTCCCCACTTGGTGTACTCGAGTAGTTGCTTGAGGGTACCTGGAATGGTTTCAGATTTTAAAAGGTAATGTTGATTTGAATATGACATTTTCTTTGTTTACTACATTTTACATCCTTATGAATAAATGTTATGGATTTTGTTGGATGACTTTGCATGTCAGTATCATTACAACAACAACATATACAAATATAACAGATTTATTATTCTAATTTTTTTTTTTCTTTTATATTCTTGTTCATACATTTCACAGCATATCATAAAATGGAAATTACATAGATAGTTATTTATGTATAAACTCATTCAGGGTAATTTGTTGGATTTGGAAACACCTGATTGGCCCACAATTTACAAATGATGGAATCACGTCATATTAGGGCTTTCGAAATAATTCATTTGTTAAATTTGTTAAATTATGAAATTAATTTAACATAAGTCGCAGTAAAAGAGGCGTGCTTTCAGAATAACTTAAACTATGGCATATTGCTTTAAGTGTGAAAAAGCAATCCCTCCCAATAAATCTGGGTTTTGGTTTATTTTGTGGTTTATTCTGCATTTGCTTCCAGGTGAAGAGGACCAGCGAGTTTTTTTTTTTTTTTTTTAATTCTAAAGGATTATCAGTACAAAATGTAGGGTGTATTTTGGGTGTCGGATAAAGTCTAGGGCGTACTGGATAACGATATGTAACTTTTAAAATACATAGGTTAATTTGTTAAAGGTACATTTTGTAACTTTTCACCTGCTTCTTTCTATGAACATGTCATTGCTCTGCCTTGAAAGTTCCACAGTGTGACATTAAACAGCTCAACTTTACGTTTATTCAATTGCAGGTGGTTTTATAGTTCAAAAATACCTAGAAAAATAGAAAGACATTCTGATTGACCGGCGTCGCTTCTCCACAGATCTGACTGGTAAC